TTGGAGATTTAGCTAAAGGAAGGCTATTAAAACAGTCATACGAAAGGTTCCTGGGACTCCTTCATGTGAGAAGAAATTGTAAGGAATAGCAGCTCACAGGATGAGGTGGCCGAGTGGTTAAGGCGATGGACTGCTAATCCATTGTGCTCTGCACGCGTGGGTTCGAATCCCATCCTCATCGAGAACTGCCTCATGGTATTTTTTCATCAATTCCAACTGCTAAGTGTTTGAGGGTTTTGTTTTTACATTGGGGTTTAAATTTGTTTCAGACATTAGAGGGAATCGTAGACAATTGTTGAGGACCAGCCTTAAATGGATTCACATGTTCCAGGGTAGGAGTGTGAGGACTGGAATTATTAAGCAAAAAGGATCAGAGATAAGAAAGAATTAAGAGATAAAACACAGAATAGCATTGGGAGGGACTCTCAGTGAGTGCTGAACCGCCCTTTATTTTCCGCAGGTGTTTTCTATAATACCCCACTCCAAAAAGGCAGTGGGGAGGCAACAGTCTTCATCAACATGATCAAAGGAATAAACAGAACATCTCTGCCCTTTGGTCAAGATGGAGCTGATGCACTTCTATACTCGTCAGGACCTCTTGTTTTGTTTGTAGCCACTTGTGGTCAACTTTGAAAGAGCAAAACAAGCTCCAACTCTCTGACCTCTGGTCAAGGCGGAAGAACTCACATCTGTGGGCCCTGACAGATAGTGGGTATTCTCATTTGATAACATTCTTTGTTCCTCACCAGTTAAGTAATTCCCTCCAGTCTTTCCATCCTCTGTTACCACACTTGGTCTTTATCGCTGCTCTGAACTCAGTTTTGTCAGGCAGCTTACTTGATTTATTCCTCACAACTCCACTAAAATTTCATTTCCCACTAAGAAAAGAATGAAATGATTTGAAGACCACAAGAAAATACTGCATAACAACCTAAATGAGCTTTTTAAAAAAAATCATCTACAGAGTTATACTCGTGAAAATGTGTCTCAGCTGTGCGTGGTGACAAAAACCTTTAATGCGAAGGAACTAGAACCACAGGTTCAAGGCCAGCCTGAGGCTACCTAGTGACTTCCAGGTCAGCCTCAGAAACATAAAGAAAGACTCAGCCTCACACACAAATGATAACAGAAACTGTGTGCATGTATACAAAAATCAAGCCAATCTTATTGCTACACTTTTTGGTAATTATATTTTATGATAACTTTATACTTAGTTACTTTTTTTCACAGGGTCTCACAATGTTGCACAGGCTGGCTTTGAACTTCTGACTTACAGGATCTTCCTCAACGCTGAATCTGGGAAGAAACTCAAGTCATCATACCTGACTCTTTGCTAACTTTGGAAGCTACCATCTTTGTACACAGACCCTGCCTTTGACAAGAACATGTGTGTTTCTCTTAGAAATATCACAAACCGAAACGTCCATTCTATTAAACAGTCTCTGTTAATACTGAAGATTTCCTCCTGAAGAAAATCAAAGAATATCAGCACTGCACAGTTTCTACTTGTGGCTTACTCTTAGCTGATCTTCAAAGAGAAAATGAATTTCCTGTGTCCTCACATCTTTATTTTATTATTTCTATTTTGGGCAAGTACTGCATTCACACAATTCAGTCAAGGAAATGGAGACCAGAGAGCAGGAATTTAGGCAGGGAAAAGACAAAAAATAAATGAGGGGAAGCTGTAAAGTCATTGTCAAGCATGCCTAGTGGGAGAGAGAGAGAGACTGCCTCTTTGGGGGAAATTTGGCACATCAATAAAATAAAAATAAAGAGTGACCGAAACTGTAAATGGCTGGTGCTGGAGTTAGCAGAAATCAAGTGAGTGTCAGAGTGCAAAGCTTAACTGACCGAGGATACTGACGCCAGTCTGGCCAGCACAGAGCCTCAGACTCAGGATGAAAGAAAAAAAAAAAAGCTGAGAAGATGCTTGCTGTACCTGTGTTGACAAAGGACACCCAGAACCTATAGAATCCCAGTACTTTAAAAACAGGACCTCGGGGCTTGCTGGACAGTTGATCAAGGTTCAGTAAGATACTTTGTCTCATAAAACAAGGGGAAGAATGAGGAAGACACCTGATGTGACCTCTGGCTTACACACACACACACACACACATACAAACACACACACATATACATACATATACACACATATAAACATAGATACACACACACTATAAAATAGCTAAAAGATAGAATCCCTGACTGCAAAGATCCGCTAGCTTTCTGGCTGGCGGAGAAGGGCAAGTGAACTGGTGCCAGTACAGGTACTACTCCACACCTGCAGCGGATCCTGCCACCTTAGACCCGCACTATCCTTTTTGCTACAGATCTAATTCCTTGGTTTTCCCTTCCTTCTGTTCTCTGGGTGTCCTAACTAGTTTTACGTCAACTTGACACAAACTAGAGCTAAGTGGGAAGAGAGGGACTTGTAACTGAGAAAACACCTGAAGTATCTATCAATGTTTCTAACGAAGCATGCTTACACAGCTTCATTGAAAGTCACGTTAGCAGTACGTAGAGATTTTATGAACGCACATAATCTTTTATGTCTTCCATAGTATCCTAGAGATGAATTCACATGCGTGTAGCATGATATATGCTTGAAACTACTTAGTTCAGCATGTTTACAAATATGAAAAGGGCTGAACTCTCCTAGTTGCCCATGTGTAGAATTATGCTAAATAAATCTGCTTAACGAATATTACACATCCATGAAAAGAAAATGAACATCCCCGTGTGCATGTCTTTACCTCACGGCCAATGTGCTGCCCACTTAACTCTAGGGTGGCACCTGCCTGAGCTCTGTAGTTAGTCTACTTAATGAACACACATACGCTACTTACAGAGCCTAACCAACTGTCAGTGAGACATTTGAGAAGTTTCCCACAAGTGTGAAAATCATGCTTACTTGTTACAAATACATGTCCAGATTGGAAGAGGATAACGTGTTCCCTATCGTCTCTGGGTCTAACCATGATTGGGCATCTACTCCCGTTACACACTCGTCAAGAAGTTTGTAATGAGGTTTTGCAAGTGAGCCTGGCGTGTTGTAGAAAGCAGTGAGGACTTAGCTAGTGCTCTTAATGGCTGCCTACACATGTGGAAGAAAATGAAGAAAAGCATGGGCCTATTTAACACCCTTTCAAGAGTAGGTCGGAGAGAATAGCTAAAGAAATGTATAGCGCTCCAGGTTTTTAAGTAGCGTTAAAATATGTCATGGATCCTCCACCAGTACACAAAGTGCCTTCTCACTGTTGAAATTATCATGTTGAGAACAACAGTGACAGGCTAGCAATGCCCCTGCTGTGAATTCACCAAAGGCCAGAGATAGAAAAGGAGGTTTAAAAAGATGCGTCAAAGCCTTGGTGGACCAGTTCTGGGAGAAATGATCACACCACTGGGAGGGAAAGTCCTTCCTACAGGAGTTTTTTAAAAATATATTTTATTGTCTGAGACACTTATGTGTGTGAGGTTCATATGCAAGTGGTCAAGCAGACATCGTCCATTACTTTGCTAAGAAATGAGTTTTTCAATGTGGTTACCCGATGGCCCAGGCTGGCTGTGCAAGGCACTGGGGCCAGTGGGGGTCAGACTTCCAAAGATCTGAGCCTACTCAAAATCAACAGCAAAATTCTCCCTCTAGTGCTTGTCTGAATTCCATAAAAGAAATGCAGCCAGAGTTTAAAATTGACCTTTTCTGGTCCTCGGAGGCAGCAGGGGCCTTACTCCGAGGCCAGTCTGCTTTGAAGCAGAAGCAGCCTTGTCCCTGGGTGAGACTAATGCAGTCATGCATATCAGAACATGTCCACGGCAATAAACAATGGGCTTCTGTTCAAACAAAACACTATTTACCCTATCCAGTGCCACTACTCTGGTTGTAAAATTATGAGTAACAGTAATTATGTTCTTGTGAAATAGTGTTTATTTAATTGGTTTTGCCTTGGTTTAGTAGAGCTCCTAAGGACCCTGATGGTTTTTGCAGCACAGTGAGAGAAAGGAAGGAACAGAGGTGGGAGGGGAACTGAGAAGAGAGGAGGATGATGAGAACATCATACACAGGCCATATGGACTCTTAATTCCACCAATAAATGTAACGTGTTTGAAGGATTAAAGACGTCTAAGACACAGTACATGAAGTGAAAGCATTAACATGAGGTGGGAGGAAAAGCTAAGTAACAAAATGTCAGAAAGATAAACACAAAAATCCAACCTAACAGTGGCAGCAGCTCCCCCAGATGACAGGACTGACGAGGGATGGGGATGTTCTGACTTTGATTTTATTGATTTTGGCACTGTCCAGAGTTTTTTGAACCATAAAGACTGTGTTTTTTAATGTGGTTTTAAATTTAAAATAGGCATTTTTCAATAGTTAATGGTATTTGTCTTATCAGTGTTTTGGCTTAAAGTTCATATGTATTGCACATATTAATGAAATTCAGATTATGAGATTCATTACTTTCAGGAACTGGATGCTAGGAAAGCCCAAGATGGTTTCTTTGTGACCAGGAAGAGGAAGAACACTGAGATTGGTAGTCCTAGATCTGACTGTGAGTGTCTCAGTTGGGTCCACTCATGAAAACTGACCAACTAGCCTCCTCCCCAAGCCTTCATTCCCACCACACCCAGGTAATGGCACCAGGTCCCACATCATTGTTCCATGCTGGTTCCTCATATAGTGAGTTGCTGAGGAGCAACATGAGGAAGGAGAGGGGAGGCTTTGTAGTCTTAGTAGGGCAAGGCAGTGCACTTCCTTTGTGTGGATGTAACAGCTGTCTAAGCATTTGTGTGGACTGGTTTCTCAAGAGCAACAAATGAGAAAATGGACACCTCAAGGATTTGGAAAACATATATAATTTTTAGATAATTACCCAAACTCTAATAAGAAAACCCAGAGTTTGTGAAAACACGATATCTTTTTGTATTTTTTTGGTTTTTGAGACAAGCTCTTATGTATCCTAGACTAATTTCAAACTTAGCTGAGCTTTTGCCTCCACCTCAGAAGCACTGAGAATACAGTTCTGTAATACCACACCTGACTTTTCTGTGTTTAACTCTTAATCGAGAAAGAAGACAGAAACTTGCTGCACTCAGACTCCAGCATATTGGATTGACTGGTGTTCTAAACAAGGAGTAATAACTAACCCCAGAAACCACACAAAAAGTATGAGTAGATACAAATGCAAAAGCATCTTTTTGGTTTTTTGTTTGTTTGTTTGTTTGTATGTTTTTGTTGTATTTTGTTTTTCAAGACAGGGTTTCTCTGTAGTTTTGGAGCCTGTCCTGGAATTTGCTTGTAGACCAGGCTGACCTCGAACTCACAGAGATCTGCCTGCCTCTTCCTCCAGAGTGCTGGGATTAAAGGTGTGAGCCAACCACTGCCTGGCTGAAAAAAAAAAATCTTCCTATGGTCAGTGAGCCACTTAGTTTTATTAATCAACTTGATACTAAAATCCAGGAGACTCAAGGAGGGATTATCTAGACTAGGTTGGCCTGTGGCTTCTCTACAAGGGATAATCTGGGTTGTGTTAATCATGGTGTGAAGACTCACCCTTTGTGGGTGGCACTATCCCCTAGGAAGGGAATTCTGAAGTCTAAGAGTGGAGAACTCTAGCTGAGAACTAGAAGGCATGCACTGGTTCTTTGCTCTCTGCTCCTGACTGTGGATGTGATATGACGAGCTGCTTCAAGTCCCCGCCACCCTGAGCTCTCCACAATGACAGGCTGTAGCCTGGAATTGAAAGCCAAACAAACCCTTTCTTCCATGAGCTGCTTTAGTCAGAGTATTCTATCACAGACACATAAAACTCACAAAAATAATCTGGAACAAGTTTCTGTGATAGAAATTATTGAAATGTGCAGACAGGACATAAAACTGACTGAAAAAACCTTTGCTCAGATGAATCTGTTAAATTTGCTTTTGACTATCATGAGAAAAACAAAGATGAATTAAAAGACAAAGTAGTTGCCTAAGTTTCTTGGTGGATGAGGTCCTTATTGATCTTTAGGAAGATGATGGCACAGATTGGATTGAAGGAGAGCAACAGCATCCTAAAGCTGTAAGAAACCTATAAGCACAATCTTTACAATTAACAAACTTCTCGTTGAGGATTTAGATAACAAAATGTTTAATCTCCAGTATGCATTTCCAGAGTATCCACATAACACTTCTTGCTCATATAAGCATATGCTCACAATCTTAAGAGGTAAGTTATAAACCCTATTTCTATTTTCCAGTAAAGGAAGAGGCAGAGAAAACCTTTTATAGTAATACCCATTCCTTGCCAAGATAAAGAAGAAATCTAGCTGGGCCTGGTGATATCAATTCAATCTACAATTCAAGCTACAATTCCAAAGGTTGAGGAAGGTGGATCAATAGTTCAAGGCCAACCTGAGTGTGGGCTATAGGAGCCAATTCAAGGCCTGCCTGGCCAACTTGGTAAGAAGTATGGTCCAACCTCAAAATAAAAAGCAAAAAGAGGCATAAGGACAGCTCAGTGGTAGAACACTTCAGATACTTATGTTCCTTGGCTAAATCCCAGCCCTAGAAAATAATTTTAAATGAGAAAAAGAAGAAATTTAGAAGGGCCACTCACTGAAAAAATTTACCATTCTATCTGAGTAAGGAAAAGTACCATAACCAATTTCTTACTCAAATAGGAGACAGGAAAATGGATAAGTTAGTTCATGTTGTGGGATAATCTTTTTGTACACTGTGAAGATATGACTTTGCCAAGGCACCTTCTCATTGATTTTCTTAAGGAGCTGAGTGGCCAATAGATAGGCAGGAGAGGATAGGCAGGATTTCCAGGAAGAGGGAAAAGGAGGAAAAATCCAGGTGCATAGATTTTGCCTGCAGACTGGGACCACATCAGACCATACCAAGGAGAGGTAAATGTCCTACACGGCAGACTGTATATAAAAAAATATAGGTTGATACAAGAGCTAGTTAGAAACAAGCCTAAGATAAAGGCCAAGCTTTTATAATTAATAATAAGTCTCCACGTTGTTGTTTGGGAGCTGGCCATCCAAAGATAGTTCAACAAGAAAGTTTGCTACACATTCAGGCATTGAAGTACATTCATTTAATCCAAGTACTCAGATCTCGGTAAGTTCAATGCCAGTCTGGTCTACATAGTGAGTTCCTGCCTAGCCAGGGCCACACGAAAGGACCAGATTCTAAATAAATAAACAAACAGACAGACAAACAGATAATAAATAAATGAATGAATAAATAAATAAATAAATAGAGAAAGAAATGAACAGAAGAAAATAGAGAGGTTGTCTCACTTCAGTTGGAAGAGTCAACCAGTCACCACAAAATTCCTAAAAATTATTTAGTAAAACATGCAAAGTAGCATTTTTTTTCGTGCTTTATAAGTCCATCCCAGTGTCTGGAATAGTAGGCTCTAAAAACACTTTTCTATATTTCCCTCTTTGGCAGAAAGGCTTTGGGGTCAAATGCCTCAAAGAAGCAAAAGGCTTCTTTGTTAATGGAAGTCACATTGCCCCAAGTTTCCTGATTTGTAAAAGTCCTTCACAAGTATTCAAGCAATAGCCAAGCAAATTAAAGACCAAAGAAAAGTAAGCCAAGAAGCCCATAAAGAATGTTGAAGTTTCAGGGTTATAAGCATATATTTTTTAAAGTATTTATTGTCATGTAACTTATTTTAAATCTGCTTGACTTTTATATCATGTCTCAGCTTGGCTTTAAACAGGTGGACCTGGAAAAATATTAAAGGAGAAGAGAAATTGCCTAGTAGCTTCATGAAGATAGTATAAGTAAGAAAAAAATTAAATGCTAGAAGATCCCAGGGATAAGTCTAAAAAAGTTTGGAAGGCTAAGTTAATTTTAATAAGCCAGAAATGAAGGCAATGAAGGATTATAGGGAATTATTAAAGGGAGAGTCTTTAAGTTTTGAAGCCAGAGACTTCAAAGCAGGAAATCAAAAACAGGTACTGTTTTTGAGCAAACAAGAACAGCATGCTGATAATTTACTGAAGTCTGATGTCATTTCACAAATGACTAACACCATCTTCTGAGGTATAAAAAGAAAACCACAGATGATTGGACTGAACTATTTGAGTTATCATTTAAAAAAAATCTTACTTCTTATGATCAACTCGCTGCACTGAGCCCTGACTGCCTAGGTTTGCCTGTGAGCACTTTCCATCCAAGATTCTCAACCTGCTTCCTAGTAGACATGTTTTTCTCCACTGGGGTTAATACACCTCACCCATCACTTACTGTTCTTCTACTTTCAACCCATAGGGCAGTTTTGAAGGCATAAATAAAAATGATGACTATTTGATGTGAAGCTTCTGACCCGGAGGAAGTTTGATTAGCTGGCACAGTCTTGAGTGAGTTTGATACAAAGAGGATAATCAATGTGTGCTAGAATTGGCTAGGCTCAAGGTATGGAAAAAGTGAGAAACAAGATGTTGAGTGTGATCGTCTATTCTCATTGTTAACTTGACTGGATTTTAAATCCCCCAGGAGACACAGTTCAGGCAAGTCTGTGAGAGGGAATCCAGAGAGCTTTCATCCAGGAGAGAAGACCCAGCCTGAATGTGGGCAGCACCATCCCAAGGCCCGAGGTCCAGAAATGAATTAAAAGGGGAAAGTGGAAGACAGCAGATCATCGGTATTGACCTCTGCTTCCTGTCTTCAGGCAGAGTGCGACCAGCTGTCTCACGTTTCTGCCATCGTGCCCACTTCACCATATTGTATCCACTCAAACCATGAACCCAGACAAGGCATTTCCTCCTTAAATTGTTTTTCTCAGGTTTTTTTTCTCACAGCCCTGAGAAAAGTAACACACATTGAGCAGTACGGAAGATGACATCAACTGTATCCTCATTCATAGTGCTGGCTAGCCTTATGTCAGCTCAACACAAAATAGTCATTGGGCAAAAGGCACCTCAACCTAGAAAATGCTGCCACCAGTCTGGCCTGTAGTGCAAGCCTAGGGGGGGATTTTCTTGAATGATGATTGCTGTCAGAGGCCCAGCTCACTGTGGGTGGTGCCACCACAGGGCTGGTGGTCCTGGGTACTAAGATGCAGCAGGACAGGAATGCCATTAGGAGCAAGCCAGCAGGCAGCATTCTTCCATGGCCTCTACTTCAGTGTGCCAGCCCTGACTTCCTTCAGTGATGGAGTGTAACGAATGATTCTAAGTTGAAATAAACTCCCAGCCACCCACCCCAGGTTGCTTTCTGTCATGGTGTCTTTCACAGCAATGGAAATTCTAACTATTTTGCCCTATGAAGATAGGATTGCTATTAATTGCCTGACTGAAAATGTTCACTGTAAAGAGTGAAAAACAAAATGTTTCATGAGTGTGCACTGATGGAGTTTTACAAACAGGGAAGTCTCCCTGTGCCTTCAGAAGATGTTGGAAGCATTCTTACTATACTCTTTATCCCCATGAAGATATATGGCATCACCAAGTCAAATTCTGTAACATTATGTACTTAGCATGAAAACTGTAGGACCGATTCAGAGTCTGGAACCTTAGCAAACACAAACGTCCCATGAGAGTTTCTTCAGAAATCTAGACATAGATTTTCAGAGATTTGACGGTCATGTCATCAGTCCCTGTAGTAAATGTTCACTAACACAAGGCACAACAGGAGGGCCAGGACCTCAGAATTCTGACCAAAACATCAAAGAGTCATGTTGACAAGCAACTGGTACAAAGAGTCTGTCCCCCAAATCTGGAACCATCCATCCAGGAGAAAAATGTGCTAGCTAAGGGTGACTGTTCTGGAAGACCTTGTAGATCCACAGATTGGGAACAAGAGACTCCAGTGCCCCCTCATCCAGAGAACGCTCCCATGTCTCCTTATTAGCGGGTCTTATTCTAGTTACTTTTAGAACAGAAAAGATAATTCACCTCAGCCAGATTATAACATCTAACACTAGCTGGTGTGTATGGGCAACATCCTTTCTTCTGCAGTCCGCAAGGGCTCCAGATGCCTTCAGCTCACTGACAAGTGAGTACCATCTGGCAGGGATGGTGGTACAGGTCACTGTGATGCAATCTTTTTCCCCACGTGACTTCTCTGATGTTGAACAAGGTATGAAGTTCGGGTAAAGCCTTTTCCACATGTGTTACACTGGTAGGGCTTCTCGCCAGTGTGGATTTTTTTATGTTCGATAAGACTTCGATTCTGAATGAAGCTTCTCTCACACTCATTGCACTGGTGAATCACGGGAGTTTCAGTACCATCCCGCTGGCTCTCCACCTTACTCTGACCTCTCCAAACCTCTCCAGGCAAAGACCTGGGAGCAGTTTTATCCCCGTGGATCCTCTGGTGTCTCAGGAGATGTGAGCTACGCCTAAAGGCTTTGCCACACAAGTTGCACTGGAACGGCTTCTCCCCGGTGTGAATTTTGTGATGCTCAAGGAGACTGCAGCTCTGGGTGAAGGTCTTCCCACAGTCATCACACTCGTAGGGCTTTTCCCCGGTGTGGGTTCGCTGGTGCTTGATGAGGTTTGAGCTGTGACTGAAGACTTTGCCACATTCTTCACACTCATATGGCTTCTCACCAGTGTGAACCCGCTGATGAATGACAAGGGCGGAGCTCCCAATGAAGGTCTTCCCACAGTCTTCGCACTCGTAGGGCTTCTCTCCAGTGTGGATTCTCTTGTGTTTGGTCAGGCCTGAACTTTGAGCAAAACTCTTCCCACATTCATGGCAATAGTGCCGCCTGTTCCTTGCGGCGTTCGTCTGTGTTGCCTGTAACTTGCCTTCCTGCTCACTGGCTTCTGCACCTGCAGGAATCTGAACAGTGTCTCCAGACTGGACACTCACTGGCTGCTCGGGCTTTTGTTCTGTGTACTCCTCAACCGGAGGCAAGCCCCTGGTTTCCGTCTTCATTTCCACACCTGAAACACAATTGTCAGGAAGTGTTTACTAAGGCTGCAAGGGAGAAAGCTCTGAGAAAAACAGCAAGGAGGCAAAAGTTATAGAGCTCCCTGAATGCCAAGGACAAATATTTAAAGCAAATATTTAATAGTTAATTTATTTTTAATAAATAAGGTGGTATGTTATTAATTATTTATTAATAAGTTGATTAATTTTAAAATTTAATATAATCTAGAGTATATCAATTAAACTTTTTTATGTTTAAATTAAATATTTCAATGCAAAAATAACGGTGGGAATAAAGGGAACAACAGGAGTGCTGGGGAGGAAAGAAACCTGATAGGAACTGGAATTCAATGGAAAAACAGGAAGTGGGGGAAGGTGGTGAGGACCAAGACCATGAAACCCAATGACGAACCAATCAGCATAAAAATTCCTAAAAACCATTTAATAAAACATGAAAAGCGTCATTTTTGGTACTTTATAAATCCTTTCCAGTGTCCTGGACAGTAGGTTCTAAAACTATTTTTCTGTATTCCCCTCCTCTCTAGACAGGCTTTAGGCTCAGGATCCACAGGTGGGGGTATGGACTCTAAGAAGAACAAGGCTGAGATATACACTAATATTAAATAGACCTCAGATATACACCTAAGATACTAAAGGTGGGATAAAGGCAACATAAGCAGCAAGTGAAAATATTTCTGAAAGGCGTTCTAATAAACTAAGGAAGTAAGGACTTCAAAAAGTCAATCAGCGGTCGGTGATACGCATTTTCACCTCTGTTCAAATAATCACTGACAAGGGGTTTTCTAAGGTGGAGACACCATCAAAGAACTCCATGCCTTGCAACGTTCAGTAGGTTGTATTTACAGCAGTTCTACTATTGCTGGGTGTGGTGGTCTGAATGAGAACAGCTTCCATAGGCTCAAATGGTTTGAATACTTGGTACCCAGTTGATGGAACTGTCTGGGAAGGATTAGGAGGTGTAGTCTTGTTGGAGGAGGTGTGTCACTGGGGTGGACTTTGAAGTTTCAAATGCCTATACCTTCCCAGGTAGCTCTCTCTGCCTCATGCTTATGAATCAAAATGCAAGCTCTCAGCTACGATGCCAGTGCCGTGCCTGCTGCCATACCCCCCATCATAATGGCCATGAATTCTAACCCTTTGAAATTGTAAGCAAGCCCCAATAAGCTCTTTCTTCTATAAGTTGCCATGATTGTGGTGTCTTCTCACAACAACAGAAAAGTAACTAAGACATGGGGATACTCTGACTTTACAAATTGTACTTTGTTTTCTTTGTAGCACTCTTAAATATCCAAAATTACACTATTGACTTTTTTGTTATCTTGTACCACTAGAATATAAATCTATCAGAGCAAAAATTCAGTTTTATTGATGGTTCTAGTCCCAGTACCAAACAACAATGCTATGGTAGAGAGGCCTCTAAAGATACATATACCTACCTACATACCTACATACATATATACAACATATACACACCAAACTGAGATCAGTATGTTGCTAAAACTAGATTAATTGCTTCTAAATATCAATTTTAATTGCATCTTAGGATTCACGGGATTGGTTAGGAAAGCTTTCTTTTTTTTTTTAATTTCCCTTCGTCAGTCTTAGAAATAATTGGTGGTGGGCATAGAAAGTAATTGTCAAATAGACCCATCTTTTAGGTGACCATTAAATGAAAGTAAATGAAGTCTTTATAATAATTTACACAGTGTAGGACTGGGAATGTGGTACCTCAGTGGTAGCATGTTCACTTAGCATGTATAAGGCACTGAGTTGGATCCCTTCCATCACACACACACACATTCTCTCACCTCTTGCTTGTAAGGGTGAACACTCTGAAGATTCCTGAGACGAATGCTTGAGCGGACTCTTCCTTGGCTGGGAGTGGCTACTTTGTGAGTTCTGGGATGGCTTCAACAATGCCCCCTTGCAGCAGAGACGTTCTCGACTCCATTCACCATTTGGGACCTAAAAGTCATTCATTTACTTTTATTTATTCAACCAAACTTTCCCATCGCACTCTGTGTGAGGACTTTCTCTTACCACACACTGATTCTAAGAGCTTCGTGAATATTAACTCATTGAAATACAGACAGCCCTGTGAAGTATTGGGAGCAGAGCAAGAAGGTCCTTGCACCCACAGGTCTCCAGAGAAACCAGAAATGTTAAGCATACAGGATCGTCTTTCCAAAGGGAAAGATGAAAAACCTGTTCTTCCAACCGGAAAGCTGAGAACTGGAAGTGATTAATGTTCTGGTGATCTGTGTTATCTGTTGGGTCAGGCCATAGCAAACTCTTACAACCAAGACTGGAGGGGGCTAGTAATCCAAATGACCCTTATAGCCAGAGGGTCCCCAAAGTTCCCACAATGACTAATATCCCAAATGATCTCTATGGTATCTGTATGACTGAGACCAGGCCAGACCCTTAGGCTGTTAAGCTAGTGCAGGTCGCTTATCTCTAGAACCCATTCTCTTGGAAGAAATGACAAGTACCCTGACTTGAGTCTCAATGTAATTAGGCTTCCTCGTGCACTGGGAATTGTATCCCACCAGCAAACTTTTCTGAACTGTTCCGGGCTCTAATACATTGGGAATAAACAGCCCGCTACTAGACTCCCCAAAGTCTGATTCAGGTTGACGAAATCAATTTGTTTTCTTCTTATCTCTTCATGGAGTTCACTTTCCTGTATGGCAGCTGCAGGGACCCTCCCCATTCAGTGAAATATGGAATTGTTTGGGATTTTGTAGCTGAAACTGAGGCCTGGATTAAGCAGCTCGTCCGTTTCATCGAGCTCCTAAGTAGCAAAGTGACAATGGGAGCTAAGGCAGAACAGCCACAGAGCTTATGGATTAACCATCTTTTTGCTCCCTTGCTCTGTCTCTCTACCCTTATGAAGCTGATGGGAAAATCTACAGAAGTATTAATATCTTGTCTGAAAAATAAACATAGTAATTTCCACTGAACAGGGGTCTTAAGAAACAAATTTGATTGCAGTATGTGACACCAACTCAGACAGAACGTAATAGGTGGTGCATCCTCTTTAAAGTTTAGTTTCCTTGCAGACACATATAGTAAAATGATGCTCAGAATTTCTTACATCTTTCACAAAGTCTTGAACTGACTGTCCACTGTTACAGAGCTCAGGACAGCAGTTCTAAGGTCAGAATCTTGGTCTCCTGATCACTAGTTAGAAGGTTCTAATCACGTGTCCTCTGATGCAAGGACACTGGAGGCTGAAGAAAGGAAATCTCCTAAAAGAGGCCAAAATGTATTTACATGTGTGGATTAGTGCTGCCCCAACCTTATCAAGAGATGCTTTTCTACACGGTTGGCAGCAGTTAATGTGAAGACTCAGAACTAGTCAAAGAGCTGAGAATAAATGGCTATTAAGTGCTTATCCTTAAATAGGACATCTCCATCAACCCCTACCTCTCACAGCTCAGGGAATCTCATGAAAGATAGAGCAGAAAGAACCTGGGATGGGGAAGAGTATTGCAAAATGCTACTTTCTGGAAAAGACATGGCTACTGACTCAGAAGTTCACTGCAGCTGTGTGAACAGGATCAGACAACATCATCAGTCAACATTCCAGCGAGTGCTACTAACTGGACTTAGTAGGTTACAACGAGGAGGGTTATATAAAGGGGGGAAAATATAATGGAGACACATAGTTAATGTGTACAGACTTCCCCCCCCCCATACATATCTGTATTCTTTTTAAGGCCAGAATATGGAAGTTAAAACCAGGCCATTTTCTACCAGAGGATCAAACAAGGGGTCCATATATTTGGACAGGAAAAAAACCTTTCTAGATTCTAGGAAAACTGTGGAATTTCCCTCCACTGTCAATGAGAACAACAAAGCAAGGTGGCTAAGGACGACAGCACTGAAGATGCTGTCACATGTGACAAGCCAAGAAAACACGTATCAAGTCGTTTGTGCCCACTGCCACTGTGCTCAAGCCTGTCCTCGGGTCTTACTCAGCACACCGGTTAGGAGCTCACATCTAACCTCTCACCACTCAGCTCGACACAGTCTACCCGAGCTGCGCTAGCTCTGAGTTCTCCCCAATCCTTGTACTTTCCTTTGTGCTTTTAACTATTCTGAGGGGTCCAGGCCACTTCGCTGTTGCCTCAGGTTCCCAGTTCAGACTAAGAATTCGCAGGCTCTAAGCAATGCCTCCCTTGGATCTTGCTCGAGGTTTCTGGAAGGCACAGGGCATAGATATCAGACCCTAAACCTGTTCCTTCTACCTGTGGAGGCGTCTCGTCCAGCTGCCTCTCCAAGTACTCCAACAGCGCCACCACCTCCTCCCCGCTGTCGGGGTGCTGCTCGCGCACCCAGGCCTGCAGCTCCCCTGGCAGGATGGTCAGGAACTGCTCCAGCACCAGCAGCTCCAGAATCTGCTCTTTGCTGTGCATATCTGGCCGCAGCCACTGTCTGCAGAGCTCTCGGAGCCGGCTCAGCGCCTGCCGGGGTCCAGCAGCCTCTGGGTAGCGGAAAGCGCGGAAGCGCTGGCGGGAGCGGTCGGATGCAGGGAAGCTCAGCCAACTGGCCTCCTCTGCCAAGGAGGAGACCTCTTCCTGTTCCACGTTCACCACCAGAAGCCCACCCCCCTCTTCTGCCGATGGAGCGATTAGGGCTGCGCTCGCCTGTGGCTCTCTAGCCATTCTGCGCCAAGCCTTGGCTCACGCAAGCTGCAAGCTGCGGATCCTCAGAGGATCCTCTGAAGATGGGAACTCAGTATGGACCGGTCTCCTCCTCTAGTTTTCCGGGACACACGGAGGCACAGCTGCACGGATATCTCCGACAAGCCTTGCCTTTGCGGAATCCTCCTTTGCACTCCAACCTAACCCCACAACAAATATTCCCAATGATGCCCCGGTCAAATAAACTACATCCAGACACTGGCTGGAGCACAGGAAACATTGTGGAAACCGAAGCCACTTCCTGGGCTCTCTAGGATGCTCTTCTCAGTGGTTCTATCCGAATTAACTCATTAGTGACTCTATCAGTACCTCAACTCAAAGGAGGATTGTTGGGGGAAGGATTAGAGCCCGGGGTCATACTGGAGTGTATATTTAAGCCCAGGAAATAAGTTGCCGGGGATCTTTGATTCTCTTCCGATCTAAAGCTTACCTTCATAGTTGTCACAATGCTGACATTAAAATTTAACCGGGAAGTAGACTTTGCAGAAAACAAAGTTGGGGCCTGGTAGGAAATTTGGTACCTCTTAGAAACCACAAAAGAAGCAGGACACTCACTTGCCTGGAGAGTGTCCCGCCCTCTTCCTGCCTCTCCCTTTCCTCCCCTCTGGGCCAAACTATCTGAGAGAAAATCATCCCGACCCTGACTCTCGTCCCCACTGCCTACCATTTTGTGGACCGGTAAAGCGCCAGTGTGGCCGCTGCTATGACACCTGCCCAAATAGCTAGAGTCCCAACTCTGCTGAGCGCAGAGACTCCCAAACCTGAGAAAGGCAAACGGTCGTCCATTAAAAGGAACCCAATACACAGGTCAGCCAGGAGCAATAAACTTTATTTCGACCCTGATTAGAACAAAACGACTGTTGTGATGGGGCAAGATGGTGCACAAGCTCCTCCATCCTAGATTCCTGCTGAGGCCGTTTCCAGGTTTAACTAGAACCTGATCTCCTTGGGGTATCTTATGGAAAACTACCCAACTCTCTGCTGGGAACCAAAGGTCAGGATGTCCTATCTAACGTACCTAACTTTTGTTGAAATTGCTTGTTTGTGCGGAACTGCCTCCCGCTAACCCTTTATCTTAGTTGTCTGTTTGTGCAGAGTCCCCCTTAGGTTGGCTAACCTCTTATCTGAGCTTCTGTTAAAACTGCTGGCTTCAAATTGCTTACTCTGCGAAGTCCCCATTCCGCTGCCTGGGGGAAGCCTCAAGAGGTCTCTCTACCCTTTAAAACCTCACGTTCTGGACAGTACACCATACCTAGCTCCCATGAACACTTGGGTGTGGTACCAGCCAGCTGAATGAAGACTTCAATTGGCTATAGGCTGTGTCTGAGGGGCCAAGTCTGGTAAGCCTCCCATCACTGTAAAAAGATACAGCTGAGACAATGGGAAAAACTAGAAGGCAGTAATATTAAGCATTTATTGGCAATTTAACTATTAGAATGATCCTATCATTTTTATAAGATTTATTTTTATTTATGTGTGTCTGTCATATGTGTGTATGCCATACATGTGCTAATGTTTGTGAAAACCAGAAGAGGATATCAGGTCAGTCAGAGCTGCAGGCAGTTGTGACTCAAATTCAGGTCCTGTTGAAAGACCCGGAGAAATCCAGACCCCTCTAGCAGAAAGAACAGGGCCCAAAATCTATCAGGGAGAGAAGAACCAAAAATCTAGGTTAGCCAGTTCAGTGACTCTGTTCCAGGAATTAGCTGACCATAAAGTTAGATTATAATCTTGAGAGTAGTCTTGAGAAATGGGGAGTTAGCCCCTTGTGATGATCACTGGTATTTTTGGAATTTACCAATGATGCCCTCCCTTTGGGCTGTAGTTTCTTCCCCTAAATACCCCCTGTTATAACAAGAGCAGCGGGCTACGTTCCTGGCACCTGGCCGCCTGCACGGCTAGCTTTATACCCAAAATAATTACATGGAAACTGTATTCTTTTAAACACTGCTTGGCCCATTAGTTGCAGGCTCTTACTGGCTAACTCTCACATCTTGCTTTAACCCATTTCTAATAATGTGTGTAGCACCACAAAGTGGCTGACTAGGGAAGATCTTAACCTGCGTCTGTGTAGGATGGGAGAATCATGGCGACTGCATGACCAGCCTTCTTTCTCCCAGCATTCTGTTCTATCTACTTCTGTCCTATTAAAGGGCCAAGGCAGTCTCTTTATTTAACCAATAAAATTAACACAAAACAGAAGACTCTCCCCCATCAACTCCCTCTCCCAGTTACTCGGGGTCAAACTCCTCTACCCCTTCGTGGGATATGAGTCTCGGCCCCAGTGTGCTGGTTCCTGTCCTGTCAATAAAACCTCATGTGATTGCAGCAAGGATAATCATTTGTGAGTTCCTGGGGAGTCGTGTTATCCCGAGACTTGAGTGAGAGTCTCCCCACTCCGGGGGTCTTTCACTGTCATGGTTAGGGTTACTTTTGCTGTGATAAACACCATGACCAAAAACTACTTGGGGAGGAAAGGGGTTATTTGGCTTACAAATCCTAATTATAATCCATTGTGAAGTCAGGGCAGGAACTCAAGGCAAGAATGCAGAGAACTGAAGCAGAGTCCTTAGAGGAACGCTGCTGAGTCCGTGGAAGAATGCTCCTGGTTTGGTCTCCTAGTTTGTTTGGTTTGCTTTCTTATACATCTCAGGACTACACCTGCCCAGGGACAGCAGAGCCCACAGTGGTCCAGCTCTTTCACATCAATCATCTGCCAGGAAAATGCCACACACTTGTCTACAGGTCAGTATGATAGAGGCATTGTTTTCAACTGAGATTCCCTCTTCTTAGATGATGCTAGTTTTGCCAAATTGGCAAAAACCAACCAACAATGGTCCTCTGGGAGAAAAGCAAATGATCTCGACTACTGAGATATCTCTCCTGCCTCTCTATAATTTTTTAAATCATTCATTAGAACTTTATTGAAATACCCGTATAGATGTATGAGACAATATGATGTCTGAGGTTTGCTGAAGCAAATACTTATCAAAAAAAAAAAAAAAGGAAGAAAGAAACAATGGACACAATCATGGTAATTGTTGAAGCTGGGTGAGAGGCATATGGGGATCCAATGTAATGTTCTCTATAGACTTACAAAAATGTTTCCACAGTAATTTTTTAATTAAACAAAATCCTACCTTCCTTGATTAGTGAATAGTTCAGTACAAAAACTATTAAGTAAGTCTAAAAGAGATGGGATAGGAGATAGCAGTTCATCCCAGAGTGAAGGTCCGTTCTGGCTTAACCAGTTAATATTCATCTTGTCAGTTTGAGTAGATTTAGAAGAACCTAGGAGATCAATAATACACACACCTTCTAGATTGGCCACAAAAGCTACAACCCCACAAGCAGTACCATGTTTTGATGGATTATATGATGATATAATTTGGGCGGAAGTGGAAACCAGGAGGCAAAGCCTAACTGGAGCAGGAAGGTCTTCGAGGTTTTGCCCTTAGGGGATGTATCTTTCTCTGGCTCCTTCCTGTGTTCCTTTTCTTTGCTTCCTAGTTGGCCAACATGTGAAGAGCCCCTGCCTCATGCTACTGCCACCATTCCTTCCCTGCCTCAGGGGACTGAAACCCACCTAAAACCATGAGCCAAAATAAGTCTTTCTTCCCAAGCTGTTTCTGTTGGGGATATTGTCAGTGTCACAAAATTAACTAATATACCAGTGCTGTTAGTTACTGTCTCATAGCTGTGGTAAACACCTGATGACAAGAAGCAACTTAAGAAAAGTGTATTTGGCCTCTCAGCTTGAGGGTGCAGTCCACTATGGGAGGACCATGGCAGCAGAAACAGCAGGGAGCTACTTAGCCATGTCTATATCTTGGCATATCAATATCGGGAAGCATGGAAAGATGAATTCTGATGTCCATCTGCCATTCTTCTAGTTCTTTTTTCTTTCATCTGGGATTCTAGCCTATGGGACAGTGCCACCCCTCAGCCTTTGTGGTCCTTTCTTCCTCAGCCAGTCCTTTCGGGAAAAGCCAGCACAACAGACACAACCAAGGGTACTCTGAATTAGTACCACCAGGTATTTATTTATTTGGGATAGGTATGTGTACACACACTTGAGCACATGTTTCCAAATGTGAAGGCCACAGAAAAATGTTTAAAAGCATTTAAGTTCTGTTGGTCCAGGGCTCACAAAGTAGGCTGGGCTAGCTGGCCAATGAGCCTCGGGGATCCACCCATCTCCACCTCCTCGGCACTGGAATTACAATAGTTTTTACATGAGTTCTAGAGATCAAACTCGAGTCCTCATCTTTCACAGCAAGCACTTTGCTGACTGGGTTGTGCTAGCACCACACACACACACACACACACACACACCACATACACACACACACGCGCGCGCGCACACACACACACACACACCACATACACACATCTTAATTTAATGAAGTTAATTACCACACCAGTCATAACATATAAGGACTGAGCCCAGTGAGAGAAGTGAAAAGAGATGTGGAAACTGATATAAACAAGATTAATTAACCAAACAAATGCTAAAGATATTAGAACCTTTTTACTCTCTTGGAAGTTATAAATATTGGAAAAACTCAAAATGCATCCTGTAGTATTAGATTGGGATTGAGATGTTAGTGTGAGCCAAGGTCTCACTACCTGTAGTAACCTCCAGAAATAAACATAGGTATCCAGAAGTGCTGGTTAGTTTTTTAGCTGTTTGACACCAACTAGGATCATCTGGGAAGTGCGAAACTGAGTGGAGCAAGTGCCTCCATCAGAGTCTCTGTAAGCTAGTCTGTGAAGGCATTTTCTTCATTAATTCTTCATGTGGGTAGACCTGTACCATTAGGGCCAGTGCCATCTCTGGGGAGGTGGCCCTGGCTTGTATAAAAATGCAAGCCAAGTGAGTCATGAGGAGCGAACCAACAAGCAGTGTTCCTCCTTGATCTCTGCTTCAGTTTCTGCCTCCAGGTTCCTGGCTTTACTTCTCAGGTTACTTTTGTTCATGGTATTTTATCACAGGAAAAGAAAACAAACTAAGACACCAGATACACAAAACATATACACATGAGTGTGCACGCGTGCACACACACACAACACACGAAACAGGAGTCTTCCAAAAACAAAAACTAGTATATCCAGAACTGAGCAGTGTTCATATATCTCAGTCTTTTTGATTACTATAACTAAATACCATAAACTGAATGGCTTATAAACAACAGAAATTTATTTCTCATGGTTCTGGAATATGAGAAGCTGCAGGAACTTTTCATTCTGAAGGCATCATCTAGCTAGAGAAAGGGCAAGGCAGCTCTCCGAGAGTTCTTTTTTAACAGCACTGACTCCAAACATGAAGGCTAAGCCCTCACGCTAATAATTTCCAAAGGCCCCACTTCCTAACACCAACACACTGGTAATAAGGTTTCAACATATGAATTTGAAAGAACAAACATGCAAGCCATTTAGGGAGATTTGGCAGAGAATATAGATTAAAGAGATTATATACAACCCACAATCATTAAATGAATTCTCGATTGTTTCCAAGTTTTACAATTATTATAATTTCATATGCATGGGTGTTTTGCCTACATATATGTCTGTGTACCAAGTGCATACCTGGTGCCTGAGAGGCCAATAGAGGGCATTAGATTCCCTGGAACTGGAATTAGACTATTGTGAACTGCCACATGAGACCTGGGAACTGAACTCAGGTCATCTGGAAGAGCAACCAGCGTGCTTATCCACTGAACATCTTTCCAGCCCGATTCTAGATCTTAAAATATGTTTTTATTTGAAGGATATTATTAGAACAGTATACCCTGTACCATTTCTATTCAATTTCATTTTATTTTATTGTTTAGGAATCCTAGCATCAGAGCTGTGTGGTGACGTGTGCTTATAATCCAAACATTTCAGAGGTAGAGGTTGGAAGATCTGGAATTCAAAGTCAGCCTCAGCTACCTAGTGAGTTTGTAAGTCAGTCTAGACTATGTGAAACTTTGTCTTAAATAAAAAATTAGCAAGAACAGAGGGCTGAGGAAACAGTTCAGTTGTTAAAAGTACTTGTTGCTCTTGCAGAGGATCTGAGTTTGGTTCCCAGTACCCACAGGAGGCAGTTCAAAACTGCCCGTAACTGCAGTTATTGGGGGCCCAGCATCCTTTTTTGACCTCTATAAGCACTACAGATGTATATACTCTCTCACGCACATAAACAAAATCTCTTTTAAAAACAAAACAAAAACCAGGCAGAGCCTCAGCAAAGCATCATTCCTAAGTTTTGACTCACCTTACTTGGGGAATTTTTCAGCTCGGCCTCCTAGATTGCAATGACTGTCAGATTAGGGAATGATATCACACATGAAAGCTTGCCATATCAGATTCTGGGATGTAAAGTGCCTTCAGGAGGTACTTCTAAATGACTGTTTCTGAAGAATATCCCTAGAAAAAGAGGAAGTTTCCAGACTAATGCATCTATATCTCTGGAGCAGAAGACTGTGAAACCAAGGAAAACAAGACTCTGGAATTATCCTTTACCTATTTACTTACTTATTTTCTATTATCAGAAACTTAAGCTTGAACTTCGGTTCCAGAAGTAATCTGGATTTTGCTTCCAATAGGGACAAACAGGCTTGTTTGGGGAGTCACCAGAAACTGAGCCTTAGGCTTTACAAACACTAGGCATACTCCACCGCTACTAAGCAACACTCTGAACACTCTTCTGCTTTTTGATGCAGAATCTCATCAAGTTGCCATAAGACCCTGAACCAGCGATCACCTTGTTGCAGTTTCCTTAGTTGCTAGGCTGCAGACCTGCAACACGAGGTGGCTTACTAGTGCCTTTGAAGTAGGGGGTAGGGGTAAGCAGGAGTCCTTCACTAAGCAGAAAGGTGGAGGCAGAAATGAAAGTGGGAATGGTGAGCCACGTGGCAGTAAAACACAAAAACCCAAAAGAAGAGATGTTGTGTTGGAGAGTTCAAGTTCATTGGGAAAGACAAGACTCAACCCAAATTTAGATTAAAATCAGATGAATTTATTCTTATTGGTAGTGTAAGTACCCCAGATTATGATCCCCAGAGAGAGACCACCAGAGAGGCCCAGACTGTAATAAGTAAGGTTTAATCAGCATAATACAAACATGTTTGGAACCCATCTCTGACCCCACTACAGTGAGGTAGAGAGGAGTTAAAAGTTCCTTTGTGGGGTTAGCTTATTTTAAAGGCAAGAATCACAAGCAGCCCTTCTAGGCGGTGGGGGAGGGGTCTGGCACGGGTGCAAAGTCTTTGCTTCTGTCCATCCTTCTTTGTTAGGGAGCAAGGCCACGCTGCTCCTGAGTCAGGACATCCTTATCACCAGATGGTTCCATCCTGACTCTAGGCTTTGTAGTCTCCTGAGCCGGGAGGGGGCCACTACCCTTCCTGGGAGCATGAAGCCAGCCTGGAGTTTCTAATTTTAAAATATTCTGCTAGGAAATTTCTTCTCGCCCCTTTGAGAATGAGGGTCCCACAGTAGCAGGAAGGACAGGCATTTTATAACCAAATCGAGAGCCATAGATGGTTAAGGGAAGCATATTTAAGGTGGCCATTACAATTATCTCGCTTCTGTGGAATCCACGGCTGCGTGGGAAGTTGCTCTACTCCCCTTAACTGTCTCTCACTCCCATTACACAGGGACAGAGAGAATTGCTTTGTTTCTTTTCCCACAGGGATAAGCAGGTTAATGAAAGCCAGGGCAAGTGGTGACTTATCCCATAGCAAGTACGCCATGCTTCCATCCCTATCTCACAGCAGTAACATCATTCTGCAGAGGATGCAGACAGCTATGCTAGGTGTTATTCTTTTATAAAGATATAAGGATGGAGGGTCGGTCCCACGAGAGGCAGCGACGGGTGACTTGAGGGCTCAGCAGGTCACCTTGGTGGGTAGAAAACTATGGTGGGTGAGAGACAGAGAGATACATCATCATGCAGAGAGAGAGTTGGGTTATGGCATTTACTTAGTGGGTTATGGAGGGGAAAGATTGAAGGGGGAAGAAGAGAGAGAGGCAGAGAGAGAGAGAGAGTATGAGAGAATTAGAGAGAGGGGAAATGATGTGGGAGAGAGAGAGAGCAAAAGTTACCTCTTCAGGAGAGAGAGAGTAGAGGGAGAGAGAGAGAGAGAGAGAGAGAGAGAGAGAGAGAGAGAGAGAGAGAGAGAGAGAGAGACACAGAGAGAGACAGAGAGAGCAGGAGAGCAGGCTAGAGAAGGCAGGAGATTAGCTTGCCTCTATGGAAGGGGAGGGTTGGGAGTGGGCAGGGCTTGTCTCTTAAAGAGACAGGGTACCCAGGCCAGCAGATCATAACACTAGGAACCTAGGGGAATTTTAAGGCAAAGATCAACAGCTAATTGAAGAACTAAAGTTCCTCCATTTTGTCCTCTGCTTCCATCTTGTGTCTTGTGTAAGCTATTTCCTGTAAAACATTCCAGTACTCAGAAATGGCTAGGGGCAAAAGTAACAGGGTAGCCATCTGAAAAGTATGGATGAATGTCCCTGTCTGAAGGTCAGCCAATAAAAAAAAACTTGACAAGCAACAGGCGAGGTTTGAAAATGAAAATTTGTGAAAAGTCCCTACATATGAGCCAATCAGGATTGAACTCTTTACTCCAAAGCCTGCTAATTTGTAACTTTCCTGGGGTTTGCCTTTAAATAATGCTCTCTAGAAGGGTGGGGTACCTCCTCTCACTGATGCACTGAAGAGGTCCCTGCTGGCTTGCAATTAATAAACCTTGCTTTTGCATCTTGGTGAGTTGGTCTCCCTGGTGGTCTTTTGGGGACCCCATGGACTGGGCACAACACTAATAAGGAGATGACTCTTATAGAGTTAAATTTTCTTAGCCATCACAGGTGTGGTGATGAAAACCTTTAATTTTAGTGCTTGCGTGGTAGAAACAGGAGGATCAGAAATTCAAGATCATCTTTTCTACCTAGCAAGCTCCAAGTCAGCTGGGCTGCAAATGCTCCACTTAATAATAATAGGAAATAGCGTGGCGGTGGTGGTGCACGTCTTTAATCCCAGCACTCAGGAAGCAGAGGCAGGAGAATCTCTGCGAATTCGAGGCCAGTCCGGTCTACAAAGTGAGTTCCAGGACAGCCAGGGTTGGAACACAGAGTAACCATGTCTCAAAAAAATAATAATAATAGTAGTAATAATGATGAAAGTACATACATGCATAGACACATACAGTAGAAAGACTATTACTGATAATTCCATTTGTTATCCCGAGGAGCTCAATGTAGGGAATGTAAATCGTGAAATGTGGTACGAGTGAGTGTCTATTTCCTTGAGGCTGATGAGGGGCTATTGCGCAGACCCCTGGCCGCTTTCCCTTCAATCGGAGGCAGGCACCAGGAATGTACTAACCGTTCCCTGGATCGCGCTGCAGAATTGAGCCTAGTGCGCCTGCGTGCCATCCCTAGTGCGCGTGCGCAGTTCCTAGCGCGCCGGCCTGTGCGGCAGTCACGTGCTCTCCATGATGCGGCTTCTGTAGTAACCGCCCTCGCCTATGTCGCCCGTGTCCCGATCCCGCCCTAATGAGGACACTCTGGGCTCTGAGAAACGACGGCGTGCCTCGGACAGCCCACCGTCGGTGTTACAGACTCGACGATCCCCTCGGGGAGGCGGTTTCGGTCTTCAGCTCAGCGGGTCCGAGGGGCTTGGCCCTCCGCGGGGTCCAGAGAGGCCGGGCCCCAGGTCTGGGGAGCGGCCGCCACCGCCAGGGATCCGCACGTTTGCCACCTCTTGGTCCTCCTCTTCCGTCTCTGGCGGCTACCGCTACCACCATTATGCGGGAGAGCGTTTGTGGGCCGAGGACCAGGAGAAGGGAAAGGAGGAGAGCTATCGGCAAAGGAGGCTGAAGGAAAGAGAGAGGATAGGCGAGCTGGGCGCGCCCGAGGTGTGGGGACTGTCGCCCAAGTTTCCTGAGCCAGATTCGGATGAACACACACCAGCTGAAGAGGAGGTGAAGAATCCGAAGAGCAGCAGTTCAGACGTCGCCAGTGAAGAAAAAAGCACGAAGACCGGTCATTCAACAAAGAGGAAAAGGAAGAAAAAGTCCTCCAAACGGAAACGTAGAAAGTATTGTGACGGTGACAGCAATTCAGACTCTGACGTTCAGTCTAGCTCCGGGGGCGATAAAAGGAAAGTTAAAGCCAGGAAGAAAGAGAAGAAAAAGAAACACCGGGCCAAACAACTCAAGAAGAGGAGGAGGACTAGAAAAGAATCCAGCGAGGTACGCAGCGAAGCTTTAGAAAGGGAATTGCCAGAAGAGGCATGGATGGAACAGTCAGTGAGTGCAGATGCCCTGGATTTAATAGGCCCCAAAGCACCGGTAATACATACCTCTCAGGATGAGAGACCTTTGAATTATGGCCACGCTCTGCTTCCAGGTGAAGGCGCAGCCATGGCTGAATATGTGAAAGCTGGAAAGCGTATCCCACGAAGGGGTGAAATTGGGTTGACGAGTGAAGAGATCGCCTCCTTTGAGGGTTCAGGTTACGTCATGAGTGGTAGCCGACATCGCCGGATGGAGGCTGTAAGGCTGCGGAAAGAGAACCAGATTTACAGTGCTGATGAGAAAAGAGCCCTTGCGTCCTTTAACCAGGAAGAGAGGCGGAAGAGAGAGAATAAGATCCTAGCCAGTTTTCGAGAAATGGTGTACAGAAAGACGAAAGGGAAGGATGACAAGTGAGAACTTGTTTGTTGCTCTGCGGGACTTTTAAACAACAAAGGTTTTGTATGGCGAAAATAATAGTAAATGGTTCCACGGTTCCCCAGTGATACTGCGCTCACTAAGTACCCTAGGGAAACACTTTTTGAGACTTCACTAGAAAGTTTTACAAACATTTCACGGAATGAGTAAAAAGGTGAATGACACTCCAGTCCCAACCCCTCTCCAAAAGGAAATTGTCTTCCATATTCTTTTGTTCTTTTGTGCATATGCAAGGTATTTTGCGGAACAAAAGTTAGTACTACTAAACGGAAGAGTGCCCCACCCCATCTGTTACTGTGATCCTCTCCCCTCCCCTACCAGGAGGAGTTTACCTTTTGGAGTCATTTGCCCCAGAAAGACAAAAAGAACTTGAGAGCTGTACCCGAGAAAATAACCATTTGGACCTATCTGGATTCAGTGGACTGTGTTCTGTTGGCTGTAGTTACCACACTTGGTAAAAGAAACTGAGTTTTGTAACAGAAAAGCCTAGGAAACTATGTTTCCAGCAAAATGTTAATAGAATTTGGGCTTTTTTCTCTTTTTCCATGACTCGTTTTCTTAGAGTGGTTTCCCTTATAGAAAGAACTGCCAAATCTGTTGAAAGAATATTTCCTTTTGAAGTGGTTGGGTGTTTTCTTACTTTAATTCAATGCTGTTTCTTCATAATAAGAAAGTAACACCATCAGCTGTTGTGCGTTGTAAAATTAGGAGAGTCTTGCTCTTTCTCTGACCCTGTGCCAGTTTCCCTCTGATCCCTCTTATTGCCAATGGGAAGAGCATGGGTTTGGCCAAAATGGGATGCATATAACCAAATTACAGTGGTATTTAAGGCTAATGATAACAATATTCTGGTAATTTGTTAATATGTACTCTTGCTTAAATTATTGATATGATAGAACTTTTATAGAAAGATGAGTTCATAAATTTTGAACATCAGAGCCTAGTTTAGTCTGAAAGTAGACATATAGATCTACTTTATATATATTGTGTTTACCTGCAGTCATTAAGAAGCTGGGGTATTTTCTCCCAGAAGCAGTACTTGAGAGTAGTTTCTTCTCCCTGTATATTACTACATTACTGAAAGTTTTATCCACTATTAATTTAAGACAGTCTTATTGAGTAAGTTGTTTCACAGTAGTTTGTTTACGATGTCATATTTATTTCCAGATTTTTGTGTATTTTTCATGTTTCTTCACTGAGTCCTTCCAGTGAAGTATTTAGAATTATCTTTATGTGAAGCATTTTTTTATTTTTATTTTTTTATTGAAAAAATTTCTGCCTCCTCCCCACCTCCCATTTCCCTCCCCCTCCTCCCACTCCTCTCCCCCTCCTTCCCACTCCTCTCCCCCTCCCCCCACTCCATTCCCCCTCCCTCTCCAGTCTGAAGAGAAGTCCAGATTCCCTGCCCTGTGGGAAGTCCAAGGTCCTCCCCCCTCCATCCAGGTCCAGGAAGGTGAGCATCCAAACAGGCTAGGCTCCCACAAAGCCAGTTCATGCAGTAGGATCAAAACCCAGTGCCATTGTCCTTGGCTTTTCATCAGCCCTCATTGTCTGCCATGTTCAGAGAGTCCGGTTTTGTGAAGCATTTTAAACAAGATCTGCTGAGATGCTCGTGGTTTTCTGCAAGTTCTTCATTAGCTACAGTTACCTCTCGTGATAGAGGAGAGAAGAGCTCACTGGCAACGTTCACATTTTCTAAAGCACCAAATCCATCTTTTCAATCATGTCCCAACTTCAGGTAGACTATAGTAAACACCTCCCAAAAATTGCTCTGCAAAATTACCTTTTCAGACTGTTTTAATACAACTTTTTCCCCATTTGCTTCATCACAGTGAGGAAAGTGTGGGCCCTGTGTATAGTTTCTCAAGAGCACCTGCCCTCAGCTACCAGCCCCCCAGGGATCACACCATAGCCTCTGTAGTCCATTCTTCTCCCCACAGGGCCACAGTTGTAGGGTTTCCAAGGTCACTTCCAGGAAAGAATATTTCTGACGTGGTATTATTAACAAGATTTGTTAGTTGATTGGCATAGTTTACATATCTGCTTGGAATGAGTGGTGTTGCCTGATGAACAGAATAGCTTACTCTGGGGCACCACATGTATGATTAATAGGGAAGCCACATAAGGAGGATGTGGTTATCTGAAAATACCATGTTGGGCAGGGAAGATAGACAATCAACAAATGCCTGCTGCAGTTTTGAATTTTAAAATGTGTGTGTTCATAACAAGTTCTGGTAGTTTACAAAGAAAAGCTTGATTTTATTGGCCAACTCCTGATTGAAAAGGACACAGGGTTTATCCATAAATAACTATAGAAAGGCTTAAGGTTCAGGGTGCTGAAGTCTTCCGAAGAATAGATTAGGACCACCTAGGAAGAAAGAACATTTGTGGAGATACAGGGGATAAGACTGTGCAAAGCATATGACGAGATCTTTTGTTTCTAAGGAAGACCTCAGAGTAAGCTGCGCTTATGATCTACAACCAGGCATTTGTTGTCCATAGGGACATTGATATGTACTGACCCCGATAGCGTAGCCCTTCCCAAACTAACTCATCTCACTGGCAAAGCTTCCTTTATAAGGCTCAAAACGTCAGTAAGCCCTACAGAGTCGCAACATGGAGTGGGGTCCAGAATCTGGAGGGCAGTATGGAATGGAAGGACACCTTCATTCAGTGCTGTGACTTGTTTCAGGTCACCCCAAAGGAGGTTGAAGGAAGTTGGTGAAAGCTGTGCTTGTACCTCTACACGTTCCATCTATGGAAACTACGCCTCACTATATACAGGGGGGACCACTTCTTTCCCCTTAACAGTACATCTTATGTTTTGTATCAATACATAGAAATCTAATTTTGAAATGATTTTATAATTTCCGTCGAATGTGTTTCCGGACACGTGGAGCTCTTCTGGCCTAAAGTCAACAGAAATGAACTCAACCCAACAAGACAGGTTGGTCCATGGCATGGGTCTGAGGAGCGCACTGGTGAAAAGACAGCAGGCTGGGCACCCAGGCAAGGGCACGACTGGGGAGGCTTTCTGACGTGGGTTATGGTCACTCCTTTGCATCGGCTGTGAGCACCAGCATTGAAAGGTATTTTCTCTGCACAAATATTTCTTGTGTAAAGAGGAAAATCGTGCTTCTTGTGTTGTAAGTACTGTAGAGAAGTCTGTAAGTTAGCCTTAGCCACTAACACCTTAGAATTTATGATCAACAGGGATCAAACTTGAAAATGTTTAATTACAAATTGCATCACACTATAAAAAATATAAGGCTAGAAGTCTAAGAAATTGGACTTTCTGAGACAGTTATTAGTAAAAAACTAAATGTCACATTTAATCTTCATGCTTTCAAATTTTAGTAGATACTATAATGATGCTTTCTAGGAAGATTGACAGGCCAACGTCACCACCAGTATTGTACTTTTTCAACAAGCTTTCTGTCTTTGTTTTTCTGGTCAGTGAAAGTGGATTTTCACTGTTAATTTTATTTTCCCTTGTCAACAGTAAAGCAACGCTTCTTTTTCGGTATTTCTTATTTTGTAGTCCTCGTAATATAAAGTGTTCACGCTAGTGTTTGGTGGTTTTATTTGGGGAATGTTGGTCTTCTTATTCATCATAAAAGCTCTTAAGTAATAAAAAGTTAACTTCTTATCAACTGTCTTACAAATGCTTCTCTGTCACTTTTCTTTACTTGGTTTTCTGATCTGTGTCTTTGTTGCTTGAGAAAATGAACCAGCTGACTGAGCAGCTACAGCTTCAAAGTACATACAACTTACTCACCATGGGATCTTGCCATCATAGAGGGACCTGGCTGGTACATCTGCCTTAAAGGAGATGTGAAATTTGGTTGTATATCATCTTTGCCTGGATATAACAGAGAACAGCATTTACTTTGAAGTGATTTTTAAAGAAATTAACTAATTAATTGTGTGTTGTAGAATAAAAATAGGACAAAAATGGCTAACATTTGAAGAAATCACTAGAATCACACACACACACACACACACACACACACACACACACACACACCCTTTGAGAGGCTTATCTTAAGTCTTGAACTCATGCTATATCCCAAGCCAGCCTCAAACTCCAGGTAACCCTCCCACCTCAGCTGCGGTTACACTCTGCTTGGCTTTTAGAATCAGTTTATTAGTAAACTCTGCTGATACAGAAAGTTGATCAAGTGTCCAGAATTGAACTGAGTTTCAGTGCAGAGAAACTGAATTAGTGTCTCTGCTGCTGATTAACTTTCCATTGTAAATATCTAAAGCACAGTGTTCTCATAGGCCATTGTTTTATGAGTTCACAAAAATACAGCATTTCACAAAGTGTGAAAATCAGATAAGGTGAAGGCTGTGTGTATATGTTTGCTTTGGTTTTTTAAAGCAGGGTTTCTCTCTGTCCTGGAACTTACTCTATATACTAGGCAGGCCTTGAACTCAGACAGCCACCTGCCTCTGAGTGCTGGGATTAAAGGTATATGCTACCACAGTCCAGCAATTTTTTTCTTTTAATATCTCTAGCATTGATCTGGAAAAAATAGCTCCGTGGTCAAGGGCAGTAGCTATTTTTTTAGAGGTCATGGGTTCAGTTCCCAGATCCACATGAATGCTCACAGCAGTCTGTACGCCCAGTTCAGGAGCTCCAATGCCATCTTCTGTCTTCTGCAGGTACCAGGCACAAACATAGTGCAAACAAAATCATGTTTTAAGTATTTGAAGCACAAAGAAAGGTATTTCTGACCCTTAGCTATAAACAGCTTGCTAAGAATTGGGCCTGGTACGGCATAAATATAATACTGGCATTCAGGAGGCAGAGGATCATGACATCTACACACAAAAAAAAAAAAAATTGGCAAAATTCTTCTTTGAATTTTTTTACATTTATTATTTTTATGTGTATATACATACAAGTTTTTTGTTTTTCCTTCCAAAAGTGAGTTTCAGGAATTGAATTCAGGTTGTCAGGCTTGGCAACAAGTGCTTTTCACCACCCTCCCACGCCACCCACTGCCCACCAACCATCTTGCTGGCTCAAATTTCACAAAATTATTGTCTTAGCCCAGGGCAGGCAGAGCATCATCACAAAAGAGTCTGCTGTTCCAACCTATCCCTGCTCCTTCCTGCACAAAGCAATTCCACAGGCTTCTGTGGAATTCATGAGGATACTCACAGCAGGTCTCCACCTCATCACCACTGTTCTGTTAGGTGTGAATGTCGTGACAAAATGCCTACGACGGCTCAGAAGTAGGGAAGATTTATTTGGGCTTCCTTACAGAGTTTCTAGCTTTGGGCCTTGGACAGGCAGGGCATCATATCAGGGAACATTTGGCAGAGGTATGTTCACTTCATGACAGCCAGGAAACAAAACAAAAAAACAAAACAAAACAAAAAAAAAAAAAACGAGTTGAGGTCCTAGCATGCCCTTGGTGACCTAGATTTCTTCCACGGGGCCCTTTGTTGCTGGAAGCAAAGGCCTGTATTTTGAGATCTGCATTTTGGTCCCAGCCATCTTAAGCTCACAAGTTAAGAAAAATATTTACCTCTATCCCCTCTGCAAGATCTAGGAAATCAACCTGGTATCTTATCTCCTAGCAGAGGCCTGCAGGCACCAGGCTCCAGAACCTATTAGCATTTTCCTTGGTTAGTCAACAATTACAGACCCTCAGTATTTACTTCTCAGCTAGGGGTGTCTCCAGACCGGAATTCCAACAGACCTGAGCTTCCTGACACCCTTCCCTTCCCCCTGACACCTTTCCCTCCCCCACCCCTTTGCCCGTTTGCTATATAACAGCTTCTGAGGAAAGAATAAACGGAACGGCTTGATCAGAAATCCTGTCTTGCCGTCATCTCTTGTGTCTCTTGTCTCCTTTCATTCCTCTCTACTAGGTTTATCAGGGACCCCCGTTCATATCCCGCGGGATACTTTGTGAAAGCTTTAACATAACCTAGTAATGCCACTGGCTGGGAATGAAGCCTGCAGCACAAGAGGCTTTGGAAAACAAAAGACTGTATAGTCCAAGTTCAGCTGAATTTTTATGGGAGTATACTTAATACTTTGCCATCTACGAGGAGCTTGGGTTGACAATGTATTTATTTTTGCTTTATATAAGAAGTGTCCCCTAATTCTTTCTTTACTATTTCAAACTCTTGTTCAGAAATGCATACTGAGTTTTACTAAAATTTTGAGCATGAGTGCAGGTCATCCAATTTTGTTATTTCATTTGTATGGTGACTGAAAGTTATAGAGTTGGTAACATTTAACTTTGAGCTAAATTTATTAGGTTAATTCATAAGATTTTTATTATTTATAATAATTGTAGGTCACAAAATTTTCTGGGTTTTCGATGTATTTTTATTTATGGGTATATGTTTCTGTGAATTTATGTCATATATGTGTGAATACCTATGGAGGCTGGAAGGAGGTGTTGAATCCCCGGAACTAGAATTACAGGCATTTGTGAGCTGGGTTCTGAGACCTGAACTCACATTCTTTGAAAGAACAATGTATGCTCTTTCCCACTGAGCCATCTCTCCAGATCCATCCTCTTAAAGATGTATTTATTAATATGTATGTTTTTGTGAATATATAGCAACTTTGTTTTTAAAAACTCAGAGTAATGGGCCTACAGAATTCTCTCTATTGATTTCACTTGCAAACAAGCCTGGAAACCTGAGTTGAATCTTCATGTAATGGAAAGAAAGAATGGATTCTCCAAGTTGTCCTGCACATGTAGTAGCTCACATGTGTGTGTGTTCTCTCTCTCTCTCTCTCTCTCTCTCTCTCTCTCTCTCTCTCTCACACACACACACACACACACACACACACACACACACACACACGCACACACTTGTAGAAGACACACAACAAATAAAGTAAAAAAGAATTGAAATCTCCCTCAGGTGTAGGCCGTGATTATCAGCCATTGCGGTATCACTGGACCCAGACTTTCCACCTTTACCTTCTGAACGGAGAAAAGTTGGGGCCATCTTGCTAGAAAGACCACACAAAGGGGTGGATTTCCTTAGCTCCATTTTTCTTACTTTTGCCCTACCTGGGCAGGCACTCAGGCCCTGCTTGTCCTCGTAATCAGCCTTGGGAAGGCTGGTACTGGCTAAGGGCAGAAGAGCAAACTGGGTGCCTGCATCAAAACCACCTGGCAAAGGCTCTTTCTCCAGCTTCCAGACTAGAAGACAACAGGGATTCAAATCTAAATGGGCAGCAGCTACATTCAGAAAGATATTGGAGATGTATCTTCAAAGGACTTAGAAAGTGGTCTCAAATCTAGGACAGGGCATATAGTTCTGATGTTACAACAAAATCCAGTGAAGACCATCCAAATTCTTGAAGCAGTTCTATGAATTAGATCAGACTTTGCCAACATGGGTCCTAACATCCTGGAAAATGCCATGATGGTGGGTATGATCTATGCTTCACAAAGTATCCATGACATTAGGAAGAAATTACAAAAGGTAGGAAAGAGTGTGGACATGGCCCCTCTCAGTTGGAGGACACCGTCTTGCAGTGTGAAACAACCATGTGCTTAGGAAGAGTCAAACCCCCTTATCTTCCAAGAAGAAAGGACTTTGGGAATCAAAGTAGTAGTTGATGAAACAACAATAAGGTTTTAGAAGATCTTCAATGCAGGCCTAGAGAGACGACGGCTCAGTGGTTAAGAGCACTGACTGTTCTCCCCGAGTTGGATTCATAGCACCCACCTAGTAGCTCACAATCACTCGTATCTCAGGGAATCTGATGACAACTTCTGGCCTCTATGGGCACCAGGCAGCACGTGATACTGGAAGACTTTAAACCATTTACTGCAAGACCCAAATCTATCAGCAGGCTGAGAAATTCTTGGGTTTCCTCCTGCCACCTGGAAAGAGAAGTCAGCTTGGAAATCAGTAACAGGCAGACAAATTGACAAACTATTACAATTCTCAGGCAACTGAAGGTATTCCTAGGCATAGCAGATTACTGTATGCTGCAGCCAGCGCAGCCTGTATAGCCAAGACTGGCGGGGGAGGGGGTGGTGGTGCGGGGATTGAGAAACGGAGCTTCTTTTCAGGTGGAAGAACAGCAACCTTTATTTTGCCCAGCAACCTTTTATACCTCTACTCCTTCTGTGGAGACCCACCGGCCAGAAAGAACACAAACACCCTTGTCAATTACAGACCACAAGGAAGTTCCACTGTCAGTCAGGGGGAGTGAGGGCAGCTGGATCACAACTGTAAAATTTGATCCCAAATTTTGATCTCACAGCTAAACCTTTTATGAAGTTTTAAATGAACCCAGGAATATTTATGGGTTTTTTGAACCATTAAAAAGGGCGTTGACATCTGCTCCTGCTACAGAAATTACAAACTTGCAAAAGTCTTTTCAGTTATATGTTCATAAAAGAGGTAGAGTGGGGTTGGAAGTTCTCACTCTGATGATTAGAGATGAACCTAAAATTGTAGCCTATTTGTCCAAGTAAATGGAAAATAATGGGGAATGATGGGGAGAGGAAGATGGTGGGGGACTTTGTAACAGACACTTTAGGAAGGACTCTGCACTTAAACAAAATGGTTTGTTTGTTCTGAGTTAGTCTACACACAGCCATTTTAATACTGTGTTTGTTCTGAGTTAACTTTACATCCCATTGGCCTAGGGGACTGCAGACCTCGTATCTGACCCCACGGGACATTAGTCAGACTAAGCATTGTTGGGTGCCTAGGTTCAGAGGTCAAACAGGTAGCAGTCTTTGGAATTCGGTCGTGAAAAGGTGAGGAACAAAAAATAAGCTTGAACACTAATAATTAACTTTGTTGTTTGCTTCACTAGAAAACTTCTGGTTGAGATGGGGTCTTAAGGTGGCTTTTTTGGCGTGGTGGTATTCCTTGGTGGCTTGAGTTACAGTACGAGCTTTGTCGTTCCAGTGAGAGAGGACGCTGTGTGTGAAAAGTCCAGAAATGGCCTGTCTCGTGTAAACGAAGTGTTTCGACTAGACCCAGCCAGGGCACCACCGAGTTGAGTCCTGGTCCTCCCACCGTCCTAGAGTGGAGCCGGAAGCTACTGGGCTGGAACACTGAGGGGCCATGTGACAGACCCTGCGGCCAGGGCGAGAGGACGTGGGGTCGTCGGGTTCGAGCGGGGTCGGAACGGCAACCTTGGGACTCTGCAGCAGCGCGTCTGGCAGGAACACAAAACCGGTCCACGCCTCGGAGCTGGGAGAACCCGAAGCGGGTGCGTGGCGGAAGCTACCGTTCTCGGGCATGGGAGGGGGTGACGCTGAGACAGTTTCGTGCTTAGCCAGGAACGCTCTATGTAGCTCAGGCTGACGTCAGACTCCCTAATATCAGCCTCCTGAGTGCTGGGATTACAGACGTGATCCAACACGCCTGGCTTCTGTTGGTTTTATTTTTGTTGTGGTTTTGTTTTGAGAGGGTTTCGTGCCGCCCATATTGGCCTCACTCCTTTAGCGAAAATACGTTTGATTTGAACCAAGCGCCGAGTTCATAGGCTGGCGCTACCACACATGGCTTCTGCTGCATGTTTAAGTAGTTTCCAATGCAAATAAACAGAATATTTGCGTAGATAATCCCAGGAAGATGGATAGACGTAGATAGCTTTAAGAGGCATGCGCGGTGGGGCCTGGGGTGATGGCGCACGCCTTTAATCCCAACATTTGGGAGGCAGAGGCAGATGGATATCTTTGAGTTCGAGGCCAGACTGGTCTTCAAAGAGCTAGTTCCAGGACAGTCTCCATAGCCACGGAGAATCCGTCTCGAAAAACCAAAAACAGAAAAGAAAAAAAAAAAAAGCGAGCAGTGAGCACAACGAAAGCTGGAGCTTGTTTGTCTTATTTAGGGAATAACAAGGCCACCGGGGTGTTTTGAGAGCAGTGAATAAAATTGCCAGAAAGAATAAGTGTGTAGAAAACGAAAAGATGGGCATTTTGTTGTGTCTTGGCGTGAAAGATATAACCCGACATGTTCTAAAGCATTTGTAATTGGAAATTCATAATAGGAATAGATGGGAGGATGGGCACAAATGAAATCAAGAATAATTCAAAGTTGGATGCAGTGAAAAACCTACACCTGAGCATGGTGGCTAATTTCTATGGTCTTAGCACTTGGGATCCTGAAGCAAGAGGAAGCCATTACTGACTGCTGAATGAGACCCTTGGAAGAAAGAGGAAAATTGGCAGGAATTCTGGTGGGAAGTGAAGTCTGACTGTTGTGGTGGTTGTGGCTAGGTGGAGCCCACAGCATTCGCTTCCGGATCAGATGCACAGAAGCAAGAAAAAAGGGAAAAATAAATTCAAAATTTTGGGTCTGTGGATTAAAAAAAAAATTTTTTTTTTTTTTTTTGGACAGAAGCTCTGAAGTTCAGCTTTAAGACCCTGTGTAAATTCTCCAACTCTCCACGTCAAGTTTTCTCCGTAGTATAAGGTTAGAAATATTTCTTAGGTTTCTACAGAGATTGAATTAGCAAGTGAAAAGCAGGTGGAGCTACTCTGTTGGCTTGTTTATTATGCTGGGACATGACGTGTGACTGGTCATTAATAAGAAGAAAAGAAATTTAAGGGGTTTTTCATCTAAGAGGGAGATTTATAAGGGCCCAAGAACAAACAAACAAGCCAAAGTCTTACAAGTGTGAGAAACTGAAAGTAATTCATTTAAGCATAAGAGAAGTTTAGACCGTATTAAATGTCTTGAGCTTGATCTTAATGGTGATGGCCCATCTTTATACTCAACAGGCACAAGAGAGGTGTGCTTCGTTTCCTCCTTAGGAAGATCACAAGTGCAGTGTGGGAAATGGGTTGGTGTCAGGAACAGAGCAGTGGTTCTCAACCTTCCTAACGCTGTGATTCTGTAACACAGTTCCTCGTGTTGTGGTAATCCCTGACCATAAAACTATTTCCATTGCTTCTCCACAGCTGTACTTTTGCTACTGTATTGAATTGTAGTGTTACTATTTTGGAGATAGAAGTTTGCCAAAGGGGTCACGACCCACAGGTTAAGAATTGCTGCTTTAGAGTATTCCGAGTAAGAGACCATGTCACCAAGAAGCTACAAGAAAGATGTATTTAAGGGATATGAAGCTGTAGAAGCAAAAGAACATGGGACTGCTGGAGAGGTGACTCACAGTTAGGAGCACTAGCCAATCTTCTAGAAGACCCAGAATTAGATCCCCACACCCACACGGCAGCTCAACCATTGGTAACTCGGGTTTTAAGAGATCTACACCCTCTTCTGGCACTCGTGTGATGCACAGACATACGTGCAGGCAAAGCACCCAAACAATTTTTTACAGGAACTTGATTAATTATATACATACAATATGAAAAGAGGAAGAGGGAATGGTAAATTTTCTGTCTTTAATCTCAAGGTAGCTGGACCCTCCTAAAGACATTAAACTACTATATTGTGTATTGTACAGTTATAATTAATCACATTTATAAATATAATTACTTATCTACTTAATATATTTCATCTAATTACTATAATATTTAATCTAGTTACTAATCCCATGTTTGATTAATTAATCACATAATTGATTAATTAAGAGTCACCACTAATTTATGTGTTATGCTTGTGCTAGAGTTTTTACTACCTTTAAAAAGAGATTTGACTTTTAAATTGTCTGTGTCTCGGTTTGTACCATTGTCCTTGGAAACAAGAAAGGTACTTAGATTTCTTGGTGTTGAAGTTGTCAGTATTGTGAGCCACCCAGCAAGGATTCAAGAAGCCTTGGTGGTACCCTCTGCAAAAGTAGGCTGCTCTCTTCACCACAGAGCCAGCTCTTTAGTCCCTTTATTAGTTATTTAAAGAAATAGGACCATTTTTTTATATTAGTTTTGGTTAGTAGATGTCTAGAAAGATTTATTTTTAAAAATTTGAAAGTAGAAGGGGACTGTTTGGGATCAGGATCATGGGAGTGGGGTGGCAATTGATTGAGATGCATGTGTATGACATGCCATAGTGAAATTCATTGTGCATAGTTAATAAGTGCTAATTTTAAAAAGAATAGGAAAAAAGGTCAAAGATTTATTGCAAGGATTGCCTCATGATTATGGCAGCTATCGAGTCCCAGTATCTTCAGGGGAATTAAGCTAGAAACAAAACCGCAAATGATTTCATTCTAGTGCACGCCAAAGTTGTGGGAACTACAGAAGCTGATTATGTAGTTCAGGTCTGAAGACAAGAGACTTAACACCCAGAGGAACTGAAGTCTCATCCAGAGCTGAAAGCAGAGTATCTGAGTTCAAAAGCTGCTAGAGAGGAAGTCTTACTTTACATGGGAGAGAGGATCAGTCTTTCTCTTCTCAGACCTTCAGCTGACCGGGCGAGGCCCAGTGCATTATGAAGGACAATTTGTTTTACTCAGTCTGCAGTCTATTCAAATACTCAAAATAGGGCTGGAGAGATGGCTCAGTGGTTAAGAGCCTTGCCTGCTCTTCCAAAGGTCCTGAGTTCAATTCCCAGCAACCACATGGTGGCTCACAACCATCTGTAATGAGGTCTGGTGCCCTCTTCTGGCCTGCAGACATACACACAGACAGAATATTGTATGCATAATAAATAAATAAATATTTAAAAAAAGTATCCAAAATAATGTTTGGCCAAATGTCTTCACACTGTTTCTCCCAGAATTAACTACCACAATACCAAACTACATTTTTCTCGCTAGTAGTCATCACTTTCTTGGACTTTTTCAAACATCTACTAACAGGACATGGTGATGCAAGCCCTGCACATTCTTGTTACTTGAAAGGTTGAAATAGAATTTTTTCAGTGCAGGCATATGCGTCTGCGCTGAGTAACATAGCATGACCACATCACAAACAAACAAAAGACTACACTTGGTAGCTTTTAAATTTAATTATTTTTTAACTTGTATTTATTTATCTTAAAAACAAACAAACTTTTTCATTAAATATACCAATCCAAGTTCCCATTCCTTCCATATATCCCTCACCCCACTCTCCATCCACTCCTCAGAGAGAGTAAGGCACATTGCTTTGGAGAAGGTCCAAGGCCCTCCCTACTATATCTAGGCTGAGCAAGGTATCCATCCAAGAGAATGGGTTCCCACAAAGCCAGTACAAACAGTAGTGATAAATTCTGGTGCCACTGCCAGTGGACCTTATTTATTAATGCAGGATCCCATTGTGTAGCCTGGGATGGCCTCAAAACATACAAGCCTACTGCCTCAGCTTCTGGAATGTTGGGATGTAGGCCTGAAGTACCAACTCTGGTTTTAGATGTTTGATGTTTTGTTTTTAATGCACCAATTCATATTTCCTTTAGTCATGTCTCCTTAGCCTAGAACAGTAACCTCCCAGTATCTGCTTTATGTTTTGGGGAAATTGGATCCATGCCTGTTGTAGATGGACCAGAGTTCTGGATTTCTCAGAAAGTTTCCTCAGCTTTTATATGATAAATAATATTTATTAAAAGTGTTCCATTGGTGATAGGGTAGTTGGTGTTGGAATCTTACTATGGATGCTGCTAAGTTTGATTATTTGGTTATAGTTGCAGCTGCCAGGTACCTTTATTTCCCTTCATTAATACAGTGTTGTAGGTAATGCTGAGAACATTCTGTTCTTCCTTCTTTTGCCCCAGTGGTTTTAGCATTCATTTGTGGTTTTTAACTGAATTGTTTAATTTTGAGAGTTTAAAAATCTTTTTTTTTTTTTTTTTTTTTTTTAAGCCAGGCCTTGGTAGCACACATCTTTAATCCTAGCACTTGGGGGGCAGACACAGGCAGATTACTGTGAGTTTGAGGCTAGTCAGAGGAGTTCAAGGACAGGCTCCAAAGCTATACTGAGAACCACGTCTCAAAAAAACAAACAAAACAAAAACCAGTGATTTTTCAGATCTCCACTATTGCTAGGTTGTGTGGTATCCTATAAAGTTTCCTCACTTTGCTTATTTTGAAGAAAACAATCCTAAGGAAAGATTATTTTGCTGTTCTTACCACTAGCATTGCTGTTTCCTTGACTCTTGTGTCTTTAGGAGTGTCCCTGAGGATACAGTCAAAGAAAGTTCTCCAGAACAAAGTGCCTGCAGCACAGGATGGCACTGGCCTTGGTGAGTGTGTGTTCATGTGCATTCTTATTTTGAAAAAGTTCTTTGAGTTTTCAACATGTTCTGATCATATTCTGTTCCACACATACCTCTTCCCAGATCCACCCTAGCAAGCGTGCATACTCTTTGGCTCCCCTGAGTCTGAAGGAGGAGCTTCAGGTAATGAGGGGATCACTGCTGTTCATGGAATCAGGTGTGACCTTGGGGGTCCTAGCAGACTAAATTTAGTGTCTTTCCACTCAGCCCAGTGAGAGAAGTGAGTCTTAGTGAGATAACAGGATTTATTACTTAGCATGTCCATACTGGGAGGAACCAGGAAGACAGGGCCCTAAGTCCCGTCTTAGGGCCCTGAAAGAGCTTCAGGATTAAATGGGAAAAGGACAAAATCTGAGAGGAAGAGGGACAAATAGCATACATAGTCCTTGTCGGTCTGTCTTGGACAAATTGACCAGCCATTATTTCATGCTGATTCTGTAAGGTCCTGAAAACTCCAGCGGAGTCACTACTGCTGAGGCAGCCAGTGCTGGTGCCCGGGGATCCCATCTCATGGGTGATCTGTCTGCAAAGTTCTTGGTGTCTTAGTGATATTAGCCAGAAAGAGGGACTAGAAGCTGCATTGAAGTTTAGGACTTTAATCCCAGCACTCAGTGGCAGGTAGATCTCTCTGAGGCCAGCCTGATTTACATACCAAATTCCAGGCCAGCGAGAGTTACTTAGTGAGATCCTGTAGAAGAAAGAAGAGTGGGGGTATTATCAAGACTAGGTAGATTAGGGACAATCAAGCTTTGTTTGCCAGTTGTCAGAGAGACACTGCTTAAATGATTAGGATATATATGCAAAGCTAAGTAGAAATCTGACTCCAAGTATAAGGTAGCAAAAGAGATGATAGTTGCAGATCCAAGTCTGTGCTTTAAGCCACTGTTAAAACTACTGTGCTTGGGAACAGGGATTCAAAGTTCAAGGAAACAGAAAAGGCCTTGGGCAGGAGCCGTTGAGCAAACAGTTCAGGCAGCTGCGCTATGAGGAAAGCACTGGACCTCGAGAGGTTTTACGCCGACTCAGGGAGCTCTGCAGACAGTGGCTGCAGCCTGAGACCCGCAGCAAGGAGCAGATCCTGGAGCTGCTGGTGCTGGAGCAGTTCCTGACCATCCTGCCAAGCGATCTGCTGGTCCAGGTGCTCGAGCACCACCCAGAGACTGGGGAGGACCTGGTGGGAATACTGGAAGATTTGCAGCGGGACCGTGGAGAAGCAGTACAACAGAAGGTAAGGGGTACAGGTGTCCTTTTGCAGGAAAGTAAGTGAGCCCCCAGGTCAAATAGGTGGACATGAACACAGCAGTGGGGGGGTGGTCACTGCTCACTGCTGGTCAGTTTTGGCCTCATCTCTCCCTTGCCATCCCATGGTGTGAGGAGGCCCTTCATTCCTCTGCCTCTTAAAGTTTCTCTTTGTTCTCTTTTCTAACACTGAGGTGGCTTTTTGTAAACCAGCTTTCTAATTATCTATACTTATCTCTAGGACCCAACCCAAGGAAACAGACAGACTGTGCTGGTTGGAGGGCCAGCCCTTTACAAAGAAGCACAGGAGCAGCTGGTCCTACCTGAGCATGAGCTGCAAAAGCCCGAGGAAGAGAAGGGTAAGAACTAAATGGCATCCTTGTACATTCGAGTTATGGTAGGCCTTGCAGTGCCCTCTGCCTTGGCACTCTTAGCTTTTTGTGTTTTGATTTTATCAGATATGTTGTTGTATAATTTATATATACAATCCACACTGGAGCCTCACTAGTCAGTGAGTTTTTTGTATATACAATAAACTTAGTACCACAGTCAAGATTTAAAAGACCAACCACTCCATAAACAATTTGAATAAACAACACATCAAGGAGAAGTGGATCTGGACCCTCACCTACCTTCTCTTCTTACCCGAGACAATGGATCTCAGGATCTCAGGCACAAGTTTCCTTATGCATTTTCTTATCTCCTTCAAATGACTATAAATGCAAGTAATGAGGGCAGTTAGTTGGTCTGGGTTTGTTTGTTTTTGTTGGTTTTGTTGTTGGGTTTTGTTTTGTTTTTTGGTTCTCCTTTGTAACTGTTCTATTGCTTATATTTTTTTTTCTAGTCTGATACAACCCTTATTTCTCTCCCCCATTTAGTGTAGTGTGTGTGTGTGTGTGTGTGTGTGTGTGTGTGTGTGTGTGTAGACAGAGTCTTCCTCTGTAACCCTGGTTGATCTCAACTGCAATTATGTAGACTAGGCTGGTCTTGAACTCTCAATAGTGTCTTCTTGATAGTTCCATTTAGTGGCCCTCTGTTCTCTTCCTGAAAAGCTTTAGTGAACTGAGTACTTACATTTTTTCATATATGAAAACTGGCCATGTTGAGAAGAAGAGCAGCAAACCCCCAAGTTCAATGGCAAGTTGTCCCTGCCTCCCACACACAGGCACTTCTGTCACGCCCCATTTCATTTCCCATTTCCTCCTAGGTCCTCTCTCCTGGGTCTCTCCTGCCTCGTTCATTTTGTTCCCCACTTTTCCATCTCCCTGTCCTCCCTTGATCCTCTGGATCTGGGTCAGTGCCCAACATGTGCTGTCATGTTACATTATATTGTAGTTTCTGGCTTCTCTTTCCAGAGTTAAAGGGCAGGTTTGTACCGTGCCCTACCCTTGAGTAACCAGTATCTACTAGTGTTTGGGTGTTCCTATTTCTATAGCTGACTTTCTGTGTTCTTCCCTTACATGTGTAAGTTAAGAAGCCTCTGTTCCTCTCTTGGAGGGAATACTTCATGTTTCAACACATGATATTTTTGTGAATTCATTATTCTCAAGGTCTTGTGGTCCCAGTGTTGTTGATTTACTGATAAGGACTTAGACTGCTTTTCTAAGGTTACATTCTGCTCAGTGATCAGTTGGCGCTATGCCAACAGATTTTCATTTTTCAATGTACCATCCCTTTTTAATGGGATTGTCCTCGGGTGACTTAGTTTTATGGTTTTATGCTTTTTGTTCCCCATGTAACAAATCATGATCAAGTATGTGCATTCATGCTTAGTTGCTTCTGTGTCTGTGATTTATATCACATAATAAAATTTAGAACATTTCACCTCCCACCACAACCCCTGTTCCCCCAAGCCCATCATAGTTAACAATTTCTTGGCTGTCAAGATGGATTTGCTGGCACATGAGTGTGATCTCAGGACTTGAGAGGTTGAGGGAGGAGGCTTTGTGTTAGGCCAGGTTGTTCTGCTTATTAAACCTTTTCTCAAAGAAAACCAAAAATTAAAACTACAGACTCTTGTGAATCATTCCATAAATATATTTTAAATAATCATAAGCAAAGGTTTTGTTCGTTTGTTTGTTGTGGTTTTTGTTGTTGTTTACTTTGTGGGGACTGAAGAGATGGCTCAGCTGTTAGAGCACTGACTGCTCTAATAGAACCTGGTTTCAGTTCCTAGCACCCACACTGCAGCTCACAAAATTCTGTAGCTCCAGTTCCAGGAAACCAGACACCCCCTTATGGTCATCATGGGCACTACATGCATGTGGAGCACATGCACACAAAACATTCATTCATACATATAAAATGTTTTGTTTTCTTTTAAATTTGTACACATGGCTTGGTTTAAATATCTCTTCCTATTTGCAGATATCTTTTCCTGAGCACCAAAAATGAAATAAGTAGTGATGTATATATATATTTAATGTTCTAGGTAAGGAACTATGGAATGAGAATGGGCAGCTCATTGTAGTGGCAGACTCTTTTGGAAGAATACAATCATGTTACACAACATCTGAACACATCCAGGCCCTCTGTATGGACTTAAGCTTGGAAAAGCAACCAGCCATGCCCCAGGAGAAAACTAGCAGCCAATGGTTGGAAACTGAGGAGGGACTAGCCCAGCCCTCAGACCTGACTGGACATGAAAGGGCACATGCAGAAGAGTCCTATGAATCTGCAGTGTATCAGAGTTCTGTTCCTACTGAACAGCCGGAAGACCTCTCTAGAGAGAAAGGTCACCCCTGCCATGTGTGTGGGAAAATCTTTCAAAGGAGTTCACACCTCGTCCGACATCAGAAAATCCATCTTGGTGAGAAGCCTTTCAAGTGCAAAGAGTGTGGAAAAGTCTTTAGCCAGAATGCAGGTCTTTTGGAGCATCTCAGAATCCATACTGGAGAAAAACCCTATCTGTGTATCTATTGTGGAAAGAACTTTAGGCGAAGCTCTCATCTAAATCGACACCAAAAAATTCACGGTCAAGAGGAGCCCTGTCAGTGCAAGGACTGTGGGAAAACCTTTAGTAAGGCCCTACTCCTCAGCCACCATCAGAAAGTCCATGGTCGCTTCAAAAGACATCATTGTAATGAGTGTGGGAAAGCCTTCAGTTTGACTTCGGACCTTATTCGACATCACAGGATTCACACTGGAGAAAAACCTTTCAAATGTAAAGTGTGTCAGAAAGCCTTCCGTCTAAACTCACACCTCGATCAGCATGTCAGAATCCACAATGAAGAAAAACCCTACCAGTGTAGTGAATGCAAAGAAGCCTTTAGGCAGAAGTCGGGTCTCTTTCAGCATCAGAGACATCACCACAAAAAGAAAGCGGCGTAATGAGGCTCTCCATCTGCGATAACAGAATGTCACATCGACAAGCAAACAATGCTTTGTAAAGTCACCATGGCATCGATCCTTGGAGGCTAAATTGGAAGCCATTTGCCTCCATTGCTTCTTTGTTTTTCTTAAAGCCATAATTAATTAGACTATAATTTACTTTAGATTATAGGATCAGAGTTAAGAGTTCTTCACTACAGGATGTCACAGAGCTTTTAATGTGATAAGTACATGATTATCTCTAATAGTCTTGTGTATGAATGAAATCTTAAATCAACAAGTCAAGTGCCTACAGATTTATACAGAATGGGAGCAAGCTGATATTTTTGCAAGTACTATAGCAACAGGCTCCTGTAAAATAAAACTAATGAGGATTGGGGAGATGGCTCGGTGACTGAGCCAGTTGCTATGCAAGTGTAAGGACAGAGCTTTGGGGTCTCCAGCATTCCTGTAGAAGTCAAATGGGTATACGGCCCACCTGTGCGCCCACCCCTCAGGAGGCGGGAATCGGATCTTTAGAGCAAGCTGACTGCCTGTCCTAGCTGTATCAACAAACTTTGGATTCAGATGGGAGGATTTGGTGACCAGTTGGTAGAATGATCAAGGCAGACTCCCAGTGTTAATCTAAGTGCACATGTATACCCACACATGTGAACATCACACATACATATGTGCATGCACGCGCGCGCGCACACACACATGAAAATAATCCCCAGGGGCTGGAGTGATGACTCAGCAGTTCACAACACCTGTAACTCCAGTTCCAGGGATTTGATGCCCTCTTATGGATGCTCTTGTACGCAGATGGTCCACATAAGCTCACACAGGTACACACATACACAAATTTAAAAATCGTCAAAAAAAAAAACTAAGCCCAAAATAAATGTACTAATGCTTATAAGTACACATTCTCGAAAGTCTAACATGGGTTAGCTAAACCTTCCTACTGGTTTACCCACATGCGGTCCTTATCTCCACTTGACCAGTGAACCATCAATGAATGCAACTTCAGAAAGCAAAGAGAATTTTTTTTTCTATTTAACTGTGGAGCCTACCTCTCATGGATTAGCTCATGTTATTTTACATTTCCTACCTGTTTTAACCACAGTATCAAATTAAGCTATAAATCAAAGTTTTCTTTAAACTATGCAAGAGACTGTGAGTCATTTAAATGACCTGTGTTGAATTAATCTAAGCAGCCGCTTTCTTCCGTGGCAACTCCAGTGCCATTAGCCTGGCTGCTTGAAGAACACTTTAATGAATGTCCCTTGGGGGAAAACAACTTTTTCCCTTTAATACCAATGATGCGAATTTTAAATGATATTTATTTTTTAAACAGTTTTGACCATTAAAATCCGGTTGGAGAGATGGTTATTATGTGATATTGATGCTGGTGATACAGAATAAGCTTGGGGGAGTCTTCCCCGACACGTTGCCAGGGTGGTGAACATTGCTTTGGGAATAGCACAGGGTATAGTTCTCCCAGAAGAGGCTTCTCAAGTTATGCCACTCTGGGAAGATGAGTGGACCTTTGTAGCCATTGCAACTTGGTTTCACTACACTTGGTTTACAGATATGTTCCTTGTCCAGTAGAAAAGGCCGGGGTCAGGCAAAGATGATTCATACTTTCACTCCAGTCTCAATCTCTGGCCTTTTGGCTCCATCATCACAGCCCATGCCATGAGCTTTTAAGGCCATATGACTGCCGACGTTGCACCCCTCACATGCCAGGTGTGGACAAGGAGGGTAAAGAGGTTCTGCCTGGCTCCGTAAGCCCTTGTTGAGCAGCTTTCCCCAAATTTGCTTAGCATATGTGTCTTAGGCCAAAACTTTGACAAAGGAAGCAGGAAAAGGTCATGTTTTGTGCAGAGCTAAAAACGTGGCTAAAGGGATGAAAGGAAGATGTCACAGTCACACCTAACAGTCCTTGGCCTGTTCCCTCCTACTTAGAGCAAGCGGACTAGAAGCAACTTACCATCTTCTATGGGAATACCAGATGTGTAAGAGATAGGTGTGGCATTTTGAAACACCGAAAGCCTTCGTGCAAAGTCAGTTCTGTTGCTTATAAGCTAAAACTATTTTTTTCTTCTGCTTTTACAGACAAAATTAATTTGATATTATGGGTACTTTTTCCAAATAATTTGAGGACTATACTAAGATCAATACCTAAACAGTTCCATGTTAAAATTTAAAACTGATTTATTTCGGTTTAGTAAGGAATCATATAGATAGGATTATCTTGTTCTGATGGAGAACTTTTTAATTGGAAACCCTGTATACTCAGAATTACTTGGTTATTTGGTCTAAGCTTTGGATAGTATCCTGCCTTTAATATCCAAATAGAGTGTAATAGAAGATGGGGTGTCTCCTCCCTCTCAGTTCTCCCATTTGTAGAAGGTAAATGCAGTTATATGATTTGCCACTACAAAATGAATATGAGCAAATAGGAGAGGGGTAAGTAACTGATTGTCATATCTTTATAAATTCATAATTCGCTTATCTTCTGCCTCAGCTCCCTCCCCCACCCCTAGTCCTGAGGTTAAAGGTTTGTGCCATCATGCCCACCACTTAGGTTTGTGATAGAAGTTTGTATTATATTTTCCTAGTAATTTTTAAAGATAATATCTTTTCTAAATTATGTGCCATGGGGTGAGGGTGGGCAGGGGTGTCCATGTAGGCCAGAGTTGTTAGATCTCCCTGGGAGCTAGAGTTCAAAGCAGTGAACTGCCCAGTGTGGGTGCTGGGAATTGAACTCTGGTCTTCTAGAAGAGCAGTATGTTCTGCTAAGTTATCTCTCCAACCCTATTATAATAGTAATAAAATAACAACCAAAAAAACAACCTTGAAGTTGGTACTGTGTTGCATAGGATACTGAAGCAGGGGACCACAGGTTCAAATCCAGCCTTAGCTACGGCTTTATAAGACCCTATCTCAAAACACAAGCGCTAAGGATACATCTCAGTGGTAGAGCATTTGTATAGCATGTGCATGGGCCTGGGTTACTTCCCCAGCACCACCATGTTTTACTCATGTCCATACAAAAACCTGCATGTAGGTATGTATCACACTTGTGCTATTCCTAACCCTCAGAAGACAGCTAGGTATCCTTCCGCAAATAGAACCTGTTTTCAAACATAATTTACATTTCTACTGTTGAACATTCTTTTTCATGTTGATTAATCATTTGCTGCTGGTTGTGTGAAAGTGATAATCTTTTTCTGGCTTTTCTGTTAACGTTTTCTTTTACTCCTAAACAGCATGGCCCTTAAAAGTTAGAGAACTATCAAATTTTTAAATGTACATTACTTTTTGTCAGTTTGTGTGTGTCATATTTACCCAACAGATATATTTAAAACAATGTAAAAAACATAATTTAAATATTGATAATATAAAGAGAATACTTTCTTATGGAAATAGTGATATTGACAATACTTTAACAGTCTGTAAAGAGTTATAATGTTTCAGAGTAATTTTTGAATAAAGTTCAAGCTTTAAAAAGAATTTAAAGATTTTGAATGGTGTTTCCTATAGCGTTACTTAGAATATAGCCTAAGCCTACATTAGTGAGGATACATTGTAGCCTTTACAATGGAATACCATTGTTGGAATGTTTATAAACTAAGCTTAAGCCTGGGGGGAGGCTCAGTTGGAAAAATGTTTATGACACGAGCATTTGAACCTGAGTTCAGACTGCCAGAACCTATGTAAAACGGTGGAGATAGTAGCACACAGCTTTAATACTCTTGGGGGCATGGGGATCCCTGGAGCTTGCTGGTCTGTCAGTGACGCTGCATCAGTGAGCTCCACAGTCAGTGAGAGACCTTGTCTAAAAATGAGAAGAGTAACAGCATCTGGCATCGACCTCTGGCCTCCACACCCACATGCACGAGTGCATGCTCTTGAGCTTGCGTACAGAACACTTTTTAAAAGCTGGAAAACCATCCCATGCTATCTTAGCAGAAAAAAACTGAAGTGCAAAATTCCGTTGTGATTTCCATAAGTGCTTCGAGCACTAATATACTCTCTCAACAAAATGTTTCAAGGGGTGTCCTGAGAATTTATAAAACTCAGGGAGGCTGTGGAAATGGGGCCCTGAGTAACAGCGCTTGCCGCCAAGTCTGACAACCTGCGTTCAATCCCTAGGGCCTTTATAGCAAAATGAGAACCAACTCTAGGTTGTCCTCTGACCCCCATTCGAACAGACACAACGGAAATAAATGTAAATATGGTGATTCTTGAATTCACACTACCTAGGTTTTTGTCACACATATAAAATCTGTGTACTTCCTCACCTTGCGGCTTTGTGCCTTTTTACTCTTCTGGCTCTCCGCACAAGGCCGGGTAAAAGTAACTCGGCTTTGTCTTTTCAGATGCTAGTTGTCTAGGGAAGAAACTATTTTTCTCTCGAGGTGCTGGGGACTGAACCCAGTAAGTCTGCCAAGCAAGAGCTCGCCCTCAGGTACATCCCACGGGTTTTTTGGTTGAAATGATTAATAAATGTACGCCTGATTGAGCGAATCGGAACCACCAGGAGAGGCTGGTGCCGAGCAGGAAAACCTCGACCTGGCTCCACCGGAGCACCAGAGACTGGGGCCTCGCTCCTGAAGTGCACAGCGGCAGCCGGAAGGTGCCTCTGAGCTCCAGCTCCGTCTGCAGGAAGTGCCCCTGTCCCTCATCCCGTTGGACCCCGCCGAAGAACTGCACCATTGCGGGCTCGGACTAACAGCAGGCACAGCCAGACTGTGGAGCTCTGGCCTCCTGACTCCGGTAGCATCCTTTGATGAGCTCGGCACATCCTCCTTGCACACGTCCCCCCTAAAGTTTTAAGCAGCAAATACACACTTAACTGCAGTGCGCAAGCGCTGGCTCAGAGTCTTAACATAGATTGGGCGCGCTAGAGCCCTGGCTAGTGCACCTCAGGTACATCTGGTACATACGTCAAGAAGTCCATCAGTCTGTGCTGGGTATCACGTACGTGCTGCGTTTGAAGACACGCAGAGGTCTGCTTGGGGCAGGGATGATTATGCAGCGATCTGTAATAACAGCTGGAGAGCGAAATGCACACACGTCCCGGAGTGCTGCCACCTGTGTGGCTGTCTTCTCCATTCGTACATTAGGTTTGAAAGTGGCCACGAAAGACTATGCACATAGAGTACACAGTAGGCCACATGCCAGTGGGAAATTGAAAGGATAGCCCAGTACAAAATGGGCAGGAAAATGTCAGCCTGCAGTGACTGTGGAGTTGAGAAAACTGATTTTCTTGTAGGTAGGAACTAACTTCTTGTATTCCAAGGTTAACTTTACACCTGGAAAATAATTAGGCGTTTAAAATGATGGGTGGTAAGCTGGAAGTAAAACGCAGGTAAGATCCGATTCTGGGAGTCTGAAGTTAGTTCAAGAAGTGTTTGAAACTCGGCGGTGGTGGTGCTGCTGGTGAAGGTGCTGCTGCTGTTGGTGGCGGTACTGGTGGTGGTGATTTTCAACATCTAGCTTAAAAGCTCCAGCTTATTTTGCCCACACTTCTGACCCACTGGCTGGAGACCAGGGTTTTTACTACCCCTTCCAGAGCTCACAGAACCCAGGAGACATTCTTACTGGTGTGTTTAAAGTACATTGCAAAGAATACAGATGAAGCAGAAAGTGTGCTTGTGTTTCCCAGGATAAGATTAAGGGGTGTCGTGCTCCCATCAACCTCCAACCGCTTGGAAGCTCCACAAATCCTGCCATTTTGGGTTTTGATGGAGACTTTATTACATAGGCCTGATTAATTAAATAATTGCTTAGTGGTCATCGGTTTAACGTACAGCTTATCCCGCCCAAAGAAGTGTAGGAGTTATGTGCAAGCAAACAGTATTCCACGCTAACACAGGAGGCGTGTTGAATTACGATCAAAATTATGCTTTAGGAAATATTAGTGATGGGAAGTCAGAAGTAAGAAACAAAATTATTGTAATAGTGCATGGAAATGGAACTAAAGGAACAGGGGAAAGGAATAGCTGCAAGAGGCATTTTGTAGCAATAATAGCTGAACTCAATGGTTATCTGGGACCTGATGTTAAGCCTAAATGCATGGGAGGTGCTGACCTCAATAAATGGAGAGCTAGATAATGAACGCACCTGTGAGCAGGCTCTGGTTTCCTTTCGATGTGGGATTAAATAATGATGCAAGACAGGAATGAGGCTGGAGGCATCCTGCTGCTAGCGCTGGAAGGTGGGGGTCTGGAGTCAAAGGCCAGGTGGAGCCAGTAAGGGATCGCCATGTCCTTGAAACAGATATGCTGAATTGAGATCACAAAAGGAGAAAATGAGATGAGGGAAAATAAAAAATTGCTGTGTGTTTGCTGTTTCAGGTCTGCTGTGGTTCTATTTTTAAAAAATAATAAAACCCTAGTAATGTAAACAGTTTCTTGGGGTTCTATGGGTTGACTTCCCAGCTCCACTGCTTAGACTTACTCGTGTAACTGTATTAGCTAATAAATGATCTAGGCCCTAGGCCTGCCTAGGCTTTAGCTTAGGAGCACTGTTTCTAAGAGACCTCTACGAGACTAGCTCGTGTTTCCTCACAGTATGGTTGTCTTATGGCAGTATCTTAAGAGCTATAGGGTACTTCCTTTTACTATGCCATGTCTGTCATACTGTTTATCAAAGCAGGTCGTAGGCACACACAGATCTGAGACGAGAATTATGGGAGGCATATATGACCAGATCTTGCTACAGAAGGCATTTGGTGATTGGGTGCTTTGGAAGAATACTACCATATCTGTACATAAAGTGAAATATTCAATGCATGTCGCTAAATGACCTTTGAACTATACTGTGTTTCTGCCAAGATAGCTTCTCCAAGTGTCAAATTATCCATCCTCTCTAGCTTAAGTATACATTCAAGCATTCTTACTGTGTATTAGTTTAGGAGGTTCTGTTGTTGTTTTCAGTTTCACTGAGCCAGAGTCTCTATATTTAGCCCAGGTTAACCTTGAACTTGCTAAGTAGTGCACACTAGCTCCTGCGCCTGCACGCTGGGATTTCAGGCCTGCACCACCATCCTTATAGTTAGTCATCTTTATAGTTAGTCTTTCCCTCCTCCTGCGGTATCCCTTCCCTCTAGGCTCCGCTCCCTTAATGTTCAGGATAGGATTTTGATGCATGGAACCCTATGTGCATAGCATGGTCGAGACAAAAATAAAAGTATGTTTCGTGGGGTTTTGACACTCTTTTGGCTTTAATTTTCTGTTCAATTATTTCACTGTAGATGTTTCTTTAGCCATACATTCCTGAAGCATAGACTGCAGCCAAATGAACCTTACTGCAGCTTCTGAGTTCAACATGTATGAAGCTTTGCCGGTTTCCACCCCTGAGAATGAGGACAGCCTTGTGACAGTGAAGGAGGAAAAGACCAGCAGGGAGCAGCCAGGCAACTCACAGGAGGGCAGGAGCCACACTCCGGAGCTTTACTGCCTGAGATTTTGGCAGTTCTGCTACCAGGAGGCTCCTGGGCCCCGGAAAGCTGTGGCCCAGCTTCGGGAACTTTGCCATCAGTGGCTGAGGCCAGACACCCGCAGCAAGGAGCAGATCCTGGAGCTGCTGGTGCTGGAGCAGTTCCTGACCATCCTGCCCAAAGAGCTCCGAGGCTGGGTACAAAGTATCATCTACAGAGTGGTGACGAGGCGGTGACATTGCTGGAGAATCTAGCCCCGGAACAAGGAGACACGGGGCAGCAGGTGGGAAGATGAGGAATGCTCTAGGGTGGGAGAGACAGGGTGAGGAGTGTCTGTTCACTAGCGTGTCACCTTTTATTCTGAAATAATCCAATTAGAGAAGGACCGCAAAAACCGTGTAGAGCGCTCGGATCCTTTTCGGACAGATTTAGCTGTTGGTAGCACTAGTTCCGGGATATAGCCCACCTACCCCGTCCATATTCCTGTGCAAGCCAAATTCATTATCTTTTGCACAGGCATGCACATTTATCCAGACTCTTTCCCCCCTAACCAGCTGACAGTTAATTATAAATATGTCTTTTTACCACCAACTACTTCAGCATGTATTTATGAAGATAAGGAAATGCTTTCGCAGTCTGAATATGGTCATCAGATTGTTCCCTTTGGCTGCCTATCTACCCCCGGGGCAGCGCATTCGCTTGCCCATCTTCTCACAGGTACATAGGGTGGTTTTGCCTTAGTCACGGGGTCATGGGAGTGCTTGTCCAGATTTCTTCTCTAGAGAATTATCATTTTTTCCCTTTGTAGGTATTGTGTAATTGGTGGAAGACATCTTGAGAGCGTACAGACCCTAGTCCTGATGCCATGTTTGCCTGTAATCCATCGTGTGTTTCTGGGGCACAGGTCCTTTGTCTGTCTTGCCGGCCTTGACTGCTGAGTCCCCAGATACGGAGAAGAGCCTGTCTGAGTGAGTCTGCAGTGCTAATTTGCTGAATGAATGTGTGTCGGTCTTCTTGAACCTTCTTTAGAGGGGTAAATGGAGCTCGTTCTGTGTTCCCGTGCAAGAGTCTCTGCTTCCCACCAGAATACTTATTCAAGGTGAATCTTTTGTCTCCAGGCGGCTTTCTAGCCTAGTGGCAACAGAGTATCAAGGCGCCTCTTTGGAGTATCAGAGCCTTCAGTTCCTCCAGCCTGGGGACACGCCCATGACATGTGACCCTCTACAGCTGCCCCAAGAAGTGAGTGGTGAGTGCTAGATGGTGGATTTGGTGCAGACACCAGAGGAGGCCACCAATAGATACATGGTTTTCTCAGAAGAGAGCTGACTGTCTCTAGCCTCAAGGTCTTCTTTCTTGTTTTTGTATACAAAGTAATTAAAGTATCATCTCATAGCACTAGCATGTGTGTGTGTGTGTGGGTGTGTGTGTTTATAATATTTAGGGGCTGGAGATGTGGCTCGGGTAAATATGTTTGCCCCTCAGCCTGACAACCTAAGTCGGATCCCCAGGACCCACATGGTGGAAGGAGAGACTCTTGTAAGTTGTCTTCTGACATCAATGTGCATGCCGGAACGCATGTGTATAAACACACACACACACACACACACACACATACACACACACATACACACAAATAAATAAACGGTTTAAAAACAGAAAATATTTGAGACCTACTTATTAAATTTTGAGTATGAAATTAGTCACAGTGATCCAGTGACAACTCTGACACATGCCCGTAGTTCCAGCTACTCAGGGGACTGAGGCAAGATTGCTCAAGTTCAGATTTCTTGTGTGTGTGTGTGTGTGTGTGTGTGTGTGTGTGTGTGTGTGTGCTGTTATTGTTTTGGTTGGGGATGTTTTTGGGTTTTCTTTGTCTGTTTTGTTTTGATTTGAGTCTGGGTCTCAGTATATATGGCTGACTTGGAACTTACTACATAAACCAGGATGGACTTGAACTGGACCACCAGCCTCCACCTCCCAAGGGCTGGGGTTAAAGTCCTGCACCCCCATATATGTGTATATTTGTGTGCTCACAGGAGCCATGGCACAAGTCTGAAGATCAAAAGACGACTTGCGGGATTCGGTTTTCTCCTTCCACTCTGTGAGTTCTGGGAATCAAATCCAGGTCCACGGGCTTAGCAGCAAGCACCTTTACCCACTCCTTTTTGTCTTTTTTATGCTTTACTGGGACTTGAACCCAGGGCTTTATATGTGCTAAATGAGCACTCTACCAACCGAGCTATATCACCTCTTTTTTTGTGTTGTGGGGAAGCAGGGTCTCATGTAGCCCAGGCCAGCCTCAAACTCACTGTACAGTCAAGAATGACCTTGAGCTCTTCCTCCTCTGTGCCCACCTCCCAAGCTGGGTTTATGGACATATACCACCAAGACTAACCAGAGCCCAGGACTTCAAGACCAGCCCGGGGAACATAGTGGGACATTGCCTTGATATATTAATCATAATATAAGATACTCAGGCATACAATTTATGATTCATGTTAGCTACCACAGTATTCATTAAATTTCCATTATTTGACACTTTTTATAAATACAAGTTTATATCTTGTATTTAAAGCTGTGGCTTTTGTTCATTCCCATATCAAAGCAAGTTTTTAAAATGATACAAAATTGCAAACTGTTAAAATTGTACCATATTGTTTATCTTGCCTGTACGGTGGGGGGAGGTGTTTGTGCACATGCTATATAGCAAGTGTGCGTAGGGCAAAGGATAAGTTGTGGGGATCAATTCCCTCCTTCTACCATGCGGATCCTGAGGATCAAACTCAGGTCCCAAGGCTTGGTGACTTTAGCCACTTTAACCACTTGGTCACTTTAACCACTGAACCACCTCACCAGTTCAGAATTATAACATCTTTTTTATTTAATACCTTCAATTAATAGGAAAACCAAAATTTAGTTTAAATGATTTGCCCAAGACCAACAGATTCAGAGCTACTTCTAAAATGTAAGGCTCCTGACCTTTGGCCCTTGTCTACCACATGTCTGGTTTATAGCAAAAGCACAGGTCTTGTGTGAGGATTCACCTTAGCAAGCTCTGTTATCTGAATGCAGCCTGCACCAGCAGCTTCTTCCTTCTCTTTTCCTCCACAGTGACATACTTCCTCCAACAAGGCCACACCTCCAGATAATGCCACTCCCTGTGGGCTTATGAGGGCCAATAACATTCAGACTACCACACTAGTATAGCACAAAGTCAGAACAAGAAAACTACACCATTGCTGCAATGCCACTCTGCTTTTTGCCTTGTCTATCAGGACTGGTCAGGTGTGTCAGGCCTGTCATCAGGCCAGCTGCCACCACCACCCACGTGTTCAGTCTAGTCAGTGGCCGTGCCAATACAGCACAGTGTAACTTTATCCTGGTGTATGCCATTAGGTGGGCAGAGAGGTCTCCTGACTGTATTTAAAGTCTTCCTACACTTACAACAGGTGGACCTTTTCCATTGTCTGTTTGTCCACTGGCCAGTTCTGCCCCATCTGGAGCTCTGATAGGTGTGTGAAGTCTGCATGGAGTTGCTAAAGGGAGTTTGTCTCTTCAGATGTCTCTTGCTTGACAGCCAGCTCAGTTTGTTGCCCGTAGTCTCCACATTTTCAGTCTTGGGAAGCTGGAGGATATAGCTCCATGCTCCAGTGTCTGTATGAAAATCAAGTTTCAGTCCCCAGTACAAGTGTGGGGAAAACTTTGGATTCTTCATCAGAAATTCAGAAGAAATTTGTCAACTCTTCCCCATTCCGAGAGAGGGAAAGATGATTCAAATGAAGTTACTGTAAACTGGAGTACCAATAAAGGACTGCAGAGAGGCCCTGTGTAGGAACCAGGAAAATCCAGGAGGGTGGGCTTGGCTAGGTGTTGAAGTCTGATAGATGTTTAGATAGCAAGGACAAACAACGCAGAGAGCTAGAATGACGTCAAGAAGAGCTTTGGGACTTAGTAGTCATAGAAAAAGGGGCTTACTGAATAGAGCTTAAAAATAAAAGGGGGGTGGAGATATGGCTCGGTATTAAGAGCACTTATTCTTGTAGAGGACCCAGATTCGGTTCCCAGAACCAACACGGCAGTTCAAAGCCATCTGCAACTCCAGTTCTAGAGGATTCAACACCACCTTCTGACCTCTTTGGGCACTGGACACATATAAAAAAAATGAAAAATAAATAAAATACCCAAAGAATTTTATAGTATGATATCTGGGTTACAAGCTGATATGAACAGTAGTCTGGTGCCAAACAAAGAGTTGTGGCAGAGACAAAGGATGAATAAAGACCATGAACGTCCTGGTGGTGGTGATAGAGAAGACTCCTGGGGGCAAAGAAAGGGGTGAGAAATACAGACTCGAAGGAATAAAGAGATTCTTAACCAGAGGAGCCAAGGAGCTGTAGAGGGAGCTAGTGAACTACATGGTCTGTGGGCCTACAAACGAGGTGAGTTCCAAAAGCATTTACCAAATCACCTGAACCAAAGCACCAAAGGAACTGTTCTGAGGCAAAGAGAGAGTGGGCAACTTTGGTTCCTCTGACAAAGGTTGGAATCATCATGGATGTGACTTAGCACTAACCTTGTGTGTTTGTGTGTCTGTGTCGTCTGTGTATCTGTGTAGTGTAGTGTGTTTATGTGTGCCTGTTAATATACATGGAAGCCAGAGGAAAACCTTCAGTCTCCTTCTTTCTCACGCACTACCCACATCTTCCTCTTAGTTTTCTTCAAACAGGCTCTCTCACTGGTCTGGACCTCACCATGAAGTTTAGACTAGGTGCCCCACTCCAATCCCTGCCTTCTGCCACTGGGATTACAAGAATGCTACCATCCCCAGATTAATATATATACACACACATATATATATATATATATATATTCATTCTAATATATATGTTAATAGGTTCTAGGAATCAAAGTCCTCATGGTTTCAAGACAAGCCCTTTACCAACTGAGCTCTTCCCAGCCCAGCATCTAGTTTCCTAAGCTATAGCTTGCAAATCCATGTGGGGGTCATATAATTGAGTGGAGATTATAAAAAATGCAACAGTACAAGTTTCTGAATATGAAATGACCAAAAATTAAATAAAAATGTGTGACTAGGAGACGTTCCTGGTAACTCCTGCCTGTATTATACCACACAGCAACTCCACAATTTTTGAATGCACAACAAGCATATCATTCCATCACACCCTGCCGTTCCAATAAGCATTGTCTAAAGCAACCTCAGCTCAGATTTGAAAGCACTGTATGTTATGCACTGAAGTGTTTTTACTGTACATATAAAGTTTTCTGTTGTTACAGAAACACAATGGCTTATGTTCCCATTGACAGCACATATATGAAAATCAGAACAATACACAGAAGATTAGCACGGCCCTTAAGCAAGGATGACACTCAAATTTGTGAAGCAGTCCATACCTTTTAGCAAGGAAATGGAAGCACCCTAGATGTTCAGGGTCTATGGATTACCTACTATCCACTGTAGATGGAAGTTTCTGTCCCACCCAGCCGTCCAGCTGTTCAATCCCAAAGAAATACACAGAGGCTTATATTAATTATAAACTGTTTAGCTTATTATTAACTAGCTCTTACAACTTAAATTAATCCATAATTCTTGCCTGTTTAGCCACATGGCTTGGTACATTTTCTCAGTAAGGCATTTTCATCTTGCTTCCTCTGCATCTTGCTGGAGACTCACTTCCTGCCTTTCCAC